AACCATAACCTGATACCTTCCCTTCTTAAATATCCCCCTGGTTATGATTCATAATTTCTTGTGTTTGTAAATAATTTTAGTGTTTTCCAACCACTTCTGCATCTTTTATCTTGTCACAACAACCCCTCCAAATAAGGATTGTTTCACCCATTTTATAAATGCAAAAGTAGACACTGAGCGGCATTGACCAGGGCCACACAGAAAGAATGGGCCAGGCTGGGGCTTGAATCCAGGCATGCTGATGCCAGGTGCCATGTGCTCTCCATGAGACCACAGCCATGAGACTACCACCAGAGGCCTGGACTGGGCTCCCCGTCTGCCATCCCTTTTGACATTTGTGGCTGTGCAGGGGGTGGTACAAATGTTCTCCAGATATCAACCAAGCCTAAATACAAGTGGCCAAAGAGAGGCTATGGAATGTGGACTCTCACACTGACCTGCACATTTGTATCCTTTACTTTCAAAAATTTCAGTCCTGAATGGTGGTGAGAGAGCTCTGGGTTTGGTATACATCTAGATGGATTTCCTGGGGGAAAAACGTGTGGGTGCAGCACTGGGTTGGGAGGAAATGTCCAAATTTTAGTGCAGTGTCAAGGGGCTAAGGAGACAAGATTCCGGAGAAGTCAATGAAGAGAGGCCTGGAGATTCTGACCTTTGACAAGGCAGATCTTCTGAGCAGTAAAAGCGCACCTGCTCTCTCTGCTCCTGGGGGTGGCAAGGAAGTGTACCAGGTGTTTCTTTTTTCTACTGGAAGTATTAGCTGGATTTTATAAGCTGCAGAGTATTAAGTAAATGACCTAGAACCCAGCAGACCTGGGTGTGAATCTCCGCCTTTGCATTTTCTAGTGATGTGGCCAAGCAATGTAATCTCTTTGAGCCTCCATCTCTTCATCTGCAAAATGCAGACAACAAAGCAGATTCTCCCCTAGACCTTCCAGGAATAGGGTAGCTGTGCTCACACCTCAATTTTAGCCCAGTGAGACACATTTTACACTTATATCCTCCAGAACTGTAAGAGAATACATTTGTGTAGGGTTTTTTCTTTATTTACTTATTTTAATTAAATTTATTGGGGCAACATTGAATAATGAGATGATATAGGTTTCAAGTCTACATTTCTGTGATGCATGATCTATATATTGCCTGTGTGCCCACCACCCAAAGTCAAAGCCATTTCCGTCACCATATATTTGGCCCCCTTTACCCTCTACTACCGCCCAACCCCTTTCCTCTCTGATGCAGACACCGGCCCACAGTGTCTGCATCATTATGGATGAAATGAGACATTCACACTGACTACCAAGTCTGGTGGAGGGAAGGAGACAGCATGGCTTTTCTCTCAAGGGGACCAAAAGCCATGGCCTCTGCCATGACAGGCCTTTATTGGGTTTCTCCGCCCATTACATGATGGTCCTCATTTTCTATGCACAGATTCCCTTTAGGTGGTTACCTTTTACAGAAAACAAAGGAGCCAATGCCGCTAATCACATCACAGAAGAGGGATATTTGCAAATGAAAAAGCAAAAGGGGTTGAACCAGTTACACTCATCCTTGGAAGGTTTAGCATGGATTTTAGGAAGTTACTTTATAGTAAATGTCCTCATTTCAGGGTGAGAGAATTTTTAGCAAAAAGCAAGACTCAAAGCGGCCTAGGCACATTGCAGGCCTAATTCCCCACGGGAGAACCTATCTGTGGGCATGGATCCTGTGCATCTCTGAGTGGGAACTGGGCCCATGCCACGTAGAACAGCCTCCTACACCTCTCATAACTACCATACTGTTGCCTGTATCTATGAGTTTCAGTTTTATATCTCACATGTGAGTGAAATCATATGGTCATTAGTTTCTTCTGACTTACTTCACTTAGCCTAATATTCTCAAGGTCCATTCATGTTGTCGCAAATGGCAGTATTTGATCTTTTCTTATGGCTGAGTAATATTCCACTGTAAGCCACTAAGTTTGTTGTAATTTGTTACAGTAGCAATAGGAACCTAATACAGATTTTGAGAAAAATACCAAAGGGTCTGTTTGGGGTGAAAAGACCCTTTTCAGACCCCTGTCAGGTCTGTTGATAGGATGGACATTAAGTGCTGAGCATGTGCTGAGACCATTGTGAATGCTCGTTAAATGACAGCTTTCTTCATCAATTTGTTACTTTAAAAGAAGCAGTAATTTTCTAAGTTGTTATGTGATACTGATGCCAGAGGCCTGAAAGAGAAGAGGATGCACAGAGAAAAAGGAGAAAAATCTAAGGATCCTCAACTTCAGAATACCTTGTCTGTCGACCTATTCCTGTGTTACATCCATCATACATCATTGCTCCCTCCTGGCATTTCCTACCACGTGTTTGTCTAGATTTCCTCAGTTCACTCTTCTTTTTGCTCAAACCAACCTCCTATCTGCCTTCTTTTCTCCCACTCTTGTCTGCATTTTTTCACCCCGAGTCTGACTTACAATTTTCCCACAGAGTATTTAATCACCTCTCCCCCTTTTAAAAGTGTGCGGCAGGGTCCCCATTAAGAAAATATGGATATTATGGGACAGAATTGGGTCACTGGGGCCAAATGCCTATTTGGGGTCCCTTCACTCCTTTCTGGACCAACAAAGCCCCTCTCTGGTGGCCTACCACCCTTCTTCCTTTTCTCCAGGGCCCTGTCCCCCTCTTTATTCTACAGTCACTTTTGCATTGAATCCTTGTTGCTGTCATCACACTTTAAATTTCTTGAAAGAACAAACAGCTTTTTCTGTTCTTTAGGCCCAACTAATCACCACAAATAGGCTGCAACCTGGCAAATGGGCATATCGGCGGTAGTGGTTGATAATGGTGCTGAATTGAGCCTCTCCAGATTTTTCCCCTTTACTCTCTATACTTGCATTTTTGAACTCCTACCTTTCACGGTCTGTGTACCTGTGTCTCAAGTTTAGACAGTAACCCAACTGGTTAGGAGTAACCTCTGTGCATACAAGTAATGAACTTTACAATGTGAATGACCTGAGTAAGATTCCCTTGGGGGAGTTTGTGAGTTAACTCCTTCAGGGCACTTGGGCTCCTCTCAGTCTAGTGTGTAACAGTCTCTGGAAAGAATGAATGCCATTGCTAAGCATGAAATGACATTTCCAACAGAAAGTAATGAATGGCATTTCTAAGCAGAAACTACACATGGAGATCTTGAAACCATGGCCAGATTCTTCTATTCATTCAGCAAACAGTAATGGAGGGCCCACTACATTTTTATGGGCTAAAAACTCATAAATTTTAAGTCTTTTAGTTCTCACAGCTTCCCAGGTGAATGGGAAAGGGAAAATGTTTAGAGATATTTGGGATTGCTTAGAAGATTGTTAATACTTACATTAGAGTGTAACAATGAAGTTAAAATTCAGCAAGGTCTGAGTCAAATAAAAGGCTTGTCTCCTACTGACCCCCACACAAACCGGGACTTCAGTCAAACTGGCTAGATTGCGACCTCACAGATTCCTGGCTCTTCCAGGCTCTAGTGCAGACCTTCCCTGTACCTAGAATGTCCCCCACCCCACCTTCCTCCCACACCCACCCCCCTCCACTCTACTTATCACTGCAAGGCTTACATCTTCCCTCCTCAGAACCCCCACAGTACTTAGGGTCTTTCTAGATGTGTTACAACTATTTAGAAACATATTTCAGCTTCCCTGAAGCACAAAATCCTAGACTACAACAATCTGCCTTACATTTCTTTGTATATCTCAAAATGCAGTTTACATCATTGAATACATTTTTGTCCAGAGTATGAATGCATGAAGTGATTAGCTAATTAATAAAACAGTGAGATGTGAATGGCTTTTCTCAAAGTGATTCAAGTGCAAAAGTCACTTACCCTTGTATCCCTTCCAGAGAGTCCTCAGGGAGGGAGAAGCCCACTAATTTTTAGGGCATACATAGCTCTAAACCTTGTAAAGAATTTCTGGGAGCCCACGTGGGCTGGGCAGACGAGCTCAGGCTCTGGAGTCACACAGACCAAAATCTCCAGCCCAGCTCTTCTACATACTAGTTATATAACTCCAGGGAACTTGATTTACCTAAATTAAAGCTGTAGTTTCCTCATCTGAAAAATGGGACTTCTCACCTTTTTCCTGTTTCTACCTAAATGGGTTAAGAGGCTTAGCTGTGCATGTGTAAACTACGCAGTAGAGTGGCATGTAGAAGGGACTAAATACGTTAGTCCCTCCTTTCTCCCATTCTTCCTCTTATGTAACAGTGTACTATTTTTATTTGCCAATTATTTTTATTAATTTACTTTTAATTATAGTACAGAGTTACTACAATTTGTTGATTCCATTCCCTATACTGTACATTACATCCCCATGACTTATTTTATGAATGGAAATTTAGCCTTCCTGATCCCCTTCCCCTTCTCCCCATCTCCTTAAGCAATCAATAATTTGTTCTCTGATTTCACTTCTACGTGGAATCTAAAAAACAAATGAACCAACAAAATGAAACAGAAACAAACTCATAGATCCAGAGAACAAATGCCAACTATTTTCAAAGACAACAAAACATTCTGAAAATAATGGTCTTTAACAGCTGCCTAGAGTCCTGCTGGGAACAACTGCCCACTCTGGCCATGGGTTTACCCTCTGTGTTTCATCCCAAGGACCGTCGGTGAGCTTCAGCCCTGCCCATTAACTTCCCTTGCCCCCCCAGCTCTGCCCTTGATGACTTGCAGGACCTCAGTTCATCATTCAGAAGTATATGGTCCATGTATTCCATACCTTAAAGAGCTCCTGAAAATTATTAATCAGACACTGGCAAGCCTGATTTTTTTCTTCTTTTATAAAATGATAGTGATTACTGAGTTTAATAGCCACATTTCCTCCTTGCTGCATGATTTCATGTCTTTGATTTGGATGCTTTGAATGAGAAGGCGAAACACAATGGTGTGACCTAGTCATGTTATGAAACTTGTAGTAGTATTTGTCGCCTGCTCCTATTAAGTCGTAATGTCCTCACCTGTGTCTCCAGCTTGGGGGAAATCCTGAAGATGGCCAAAGACGAGTCCACCATTCATTGCTTCCAGGGCCTCCTGATTTTTGGAAATGTGATTATTGGTGTAAGTAATGCGTATTTTTTTTCAGGCAATTCTGCTCTTCCTATAATCATGATTTTAGATCAATCAAAGGTGAAAGTTTAAAGGAAAATAATGATGTAATTACAGGCTCCCTACATCTTTTCTTCATTTTAAGAAATGCATTAGTAAAATATATTAGCCTGAATTTAACTATATAAACAATTATGTACAGCTATGTAACATAGCAAAAGAATAGATTGAAAAAATAGATATTTCCTTCCTGAGTTTGAAGCACAGAATCTGAAAGGAGTCGTGTTAGTCCTGGCAGCACCTGAAGACTCCCACCACACACAGGCTCTGCCATTTCCTTACTATTTCACCTTCATTTGATTTCATGGGACTCTGCCTTCAAGGTTGTTAGGTGCAGATATTTGCGTCTTTTGGTTCTCATCACACAGAGGCCTCTCCAGGATGTGAGAGTAGCTCAGAGGCCAAGCTGTGGGGCCCGCTGTGGTGGGAGAGCACTTAGGAGTCAGGATCACTGGCTCTCCACGCAGCCCTGCTTCTGACTCCATGTGACTCTGGACAAGTCTTTCCGGGCCAAGACCACTCACCCATAAAACGCAGAGGGTGGGAAAGATACCCCAGGATTCTTTCCAGCTCTAATATTCAGTGGTTCTCTGGCACAGATAAATACAACCAGGACCAGTTTGAATATTACAGTCTGATGATAGGGACTGGACATGGGAGATTATCATCATACAAGAGAGATGCTTTTTAAGTGGTTCATGCCTCAAGAACTTTATAATGGTCTGAAATTGGGTCTTTTTCCAAATAGCAATGAGACAGACAGCAAAATGTGGACAGAGGCATACAATCAATTAGTAGGATGAAAGGAGTCGTTTGAGTTCCTGGCAATGAGGAATTTGAGTCACTTGCTAAAGCCTATGCAGGGGACAGAATTAGTCTCTCTTACCCCCTAACCCCTACTTCTCCATCCCCTCCCAATGCTGCTCTCCCACGAGCCTGACAGAAGCCCCTCTGCCCCCAGATGTGCGGCATCGCCCTGACTGCAGAGTGCATCTTCTTTGTATCGGACCAGCATAGCCTCTACCCACTGCTTGAAGCCACCAACAATGACGACATCTACGGGGCAGCCTGGATCGGCATGTTTGTCGGCATCTGTCTCTTCTGCCTGTCTGTTCTAGGCATCGTAGGCATCATGAAGTCCAGCAGGAAACTCCTTCTGGCAGTAAGACCTTAAAACTCTCTACAGTTGTGTCCTGGACCACTGTTGATGGATTGTTTATTCTTCCCTGAGCACAGTGCTCGGGCCTTTGGTGGGTAGAGGGTGCCACATGGGATCGGAGGAGGGGAAGACGCCCCCTGCAGTGAAGCTCATCCAAGTGGGGCCAAGGATGCCTTCTGCTATTGCAAGTACAGAAAATTACAGTGTTGGGAACCCAAAGGGGAGACCCCTATTGAGTGTTTTCCAGATCTCTGCTTCTCCGACTGGTGTCTGCAGACATTCAACTGGTACAACGAGGAGTTATGTAGCCCAAAGGACAGGGTGAAAACTTCATAATTAGATTTTTTCTCTTGACAAGAAGAGATTTAAAAATATTATTTTAATATCAGTCAGTATTAAAACTAAGGTATAAAATATAAAAATTAATATTAGGATATAAAATATGCATAAATTTTTTAGAGGAAGCATGAGCCTTTTCAGACATTTTTGGGCTCAAGGCTGATGATTTTGTGTGTTGGCCTGCAGTTCTCATATTGTGCATTCCCCTTTCGGGGATCCTGGAGGAGCTTGATGCACAGGGCGCAGAGTGCAGCCTCAGCTCCCACCTGCCCAGGGATGCCCTAACTCTGTGTATCCACAGGGAGGCTTTGGCCCCAAACCACAGACAGCAAGACATGCCCTGCCTTTGCAGAGGAAGTAAATTTGAGATATTATGCAAAAATCAGCAGAGCTAAGAAACGCGGTGGTTGGGTCTAGAACCTTACTCTCTACCCCTAGGCTCAAGACAGTAGTTGTTCACACTGATGGGGTCCCACCCCCATTCCTACGCCAGTGCTGTTGGACCTGAGTTCCGCCTTTATGAAACCAGTCCAGCAACTGAAGGTGCTTGTTGGTGCACTATCCCTGTGCTCTGACATTGTCCTGGCACTCAGGGAATGCAGACCATTTACATTCTCTGGCTCCTTGGTGTGAGTTAGTTCCAGAGCAAAGGCACCCACTTTTGGAGGGTGGAGAAAGGAATGCTGGGAAAGGTAGGGGAGGGACAGATGTCCCTAGAGACATGCTTCAGCTGCATCTCAGACTCGCTGTGGGCCAGTCATGTGTGCCTGACTCAGGCAGGGGAACTGAGTTGGAGAGAACATTCTACACCACGCCCCTGAAGAGAAAGAGCAGGACACCTGACAAGCAGCTGACAGAGAAAACCTCTGTGCCCTGGGCCTCCTTTCCAGAGTGTCTCTGAGGGGTTTCTGAGCTTCTTTAACAGGAGCCAGCCAAGCTCTTGACAAAGAGCAAGACAAAAGTTCATAGAGGGAGGAAAATATTATAAGGCCTCTGAAGGTGCTTTTGCTGTTTACCCTCCAGCCGAAGCTTTGCCCTGGGCCTAGTGGTGAGGGCACCTGAGGGCCCTGCTGGGGGTAGGGGGACATGCAGTATAACCTGCATGGCCCCACCAACACTGACCTAAGTACCACTTTCCCAGAAGAACACAGGACCAAAAGTGTATGTGCAAAGCTGAGCAAAGCAAAATCAGAATTTTTGCAAATAGTCATCAATCCAGATTCGCCAGGTCGTTGGTGGTTCAGAAGTTTTCCAGACATAAATAGGGGCAGCACGGCGTGAGCACATCATGAGTGCATGTGCACATATGCACACCGCCCCCCACCCCCCACCAGTTCATTCTGTTTTTCTCAGTTAAAACAGAAATTTGGGATACTGGACTCAGAAAGCTCCGTATTCAATGGGTGTTTGTTCTCTGAAGGAAAGGAGAGAACTGAGCTGATTAGCACCAAGTCTTGCTCCAAGCAGCTGATCAGTGAGGGTTTGTTGAATAACTATGGGAATTATTGGATGATTATATTTATGTGAATATATGGGGGAGGGGGGCAAAAGTAGGTTTATAGTTGTGAGTACCCAAAGCATAGTTTATTCTTATATTATTTATTAATTATTTTATTTATTATTAACCTACTTTTGCCCACCCCTGTACTGAAAAAACATAACAATTATTTGTTTTAAAAAAAGCTTCCCTTGGAGATAAATGTAACTCCTGTTTTAAAAAAATTGTTTCCCTTCCAGTATTTCATCCTGATGTTTATTGTGTATGGCTTTGAAGTGGCATCTTGTATCACAGCAGCAACACAGAGAGACTTTGTGAGTACCATCCCAGAAGCACAGAGTGAAATAATCATATGAGCCATCATTACCATTATAATAAGATAATAGCTAACACGTATTAAGTTCTTACTCCGTACCAGGCACCCTAATATGCACATTAATAATAAATATATAATTTTACTCAATCCTAATAATAACCCTATGAAATAGGTATTATGACTATTGCCATTTTATGGATGATAAAAAGGAGACCTAACAAGGTAAAGTGACTTGTCCAAGGTTACACAGCTGGTAAGGGAAGGGGAGATTCCTGAGTCCAGGCAGTGTGACGTCCAGGGCTCCAGCTTGTAATCCCTGTGCTCTTCACCACTTTGCCATGGCCACTGGTTCCCCAAAAGGATAATCAACAGTCCACCACATCTAAGACTTCTCAATTCAGCATCTTGCTTTCTCTTCTCTTCAAACCCTAGCCTGAGCCACCTGGCAATCAATGCCTGCCCACCCTGTTCTCACAGAGATTTCTTGGAAGATGGGGATTTCTCCTTACATGGGGGACATCAGCCACCCAGAGCAGCCTCATACCTTCCCCAACCCCTAGTCCGTGCCTCTGAGCAGAGTTTGACCCCAGGAGACAGTGTCCAGTGCCCCCAGCAATGGGCCGAGCAAATCACTTTGCCTCCTTGTAGATTAGCAGACTAACTCTCCCTCTTGTGTCCCCTCCTCCCTCCTTAGTTCACACCCAACCTCTTCCTGAAGCAGATGCTGGAGAGGTACCAAAACAACAGCCCCCCAAACAATGATGACCAGTGGAAAAACAATGGAGTCACCAAAACTTGGGACAGACTTATGCTCCAGGTAAGACCTGGGATCATGGGCAGACGCCACTTTGTGCGCAGTCTGTGTGTGACCAGTCTCCAGGGCTGTGTATGTGGGAGTGAAGTCAAAGGGTGGAGGACCACAGCCTCTAAGAGGATTTCCTGCACAAAGGGACTTGACATAGGCTAGTTCATCCATTGCTCTTCTTTACCAGCAGGGGACAGGAGTCATATACATGAGTCAGTGAGACTCCTAGACCTATATTTTGTTTCAAGCCATGATGCTGATTAGCTTGCATGTATAGGGATAATGACATTTTCAAGAAATTTAGATTAAGCACACACTCTGTCTTTTAGAACTCAGGCATCACTTACATTAAAAGAAAAATGTTGCCTCCTCTGTTTCACAGTGAACTCAAATGGCAGTTACCATCCCTGTTGCTTATTTAGCACCTTTCACACTTCCTATGGACGGTCCCATGAAGGATCAAGGACTGTGGGTTGACTTGATGGGTTTTCCCTACTTAGCAATCACACCTCATATCCAAGTTTACCTCAATACCACCACAAGTCCAAATCTTTTAGAATACCCATCATCTCCTGTCTGTTGCTGTATGTACATAAATTCTTATCCCTGGCATACCCCAACTCCCACACTGCCCTTGAGCCCTGCCCCCAGCCCACCCCACCACCCACGTTTCACAGCCTGTCACCTGCAAACTCCCCTGTGGCCTCTGCATCTTCTTTGAACTCTCTCTTTACCCTCTGTCTTCTATAATTTTTGTAATTCACTCTAATATTCCCACTTCAATAACTTTCTTCACCCTATTTGGACCATCAATTCCTCAGCCACTTTTTTTATTTTCTATCATTCTCTTGTTTGCAAGAATTAAGTTCTTCAAATGAGAATGTGAATGTTCACACAGTTGAAAGTCCACTAACCGACCTTTTAAAGCTCAGTCTGAAATAAGCTTGGCTCGAACTTAACCATTTTTTCCCAAAATGCTCAGGTCCAAATACAGGATGATTATTTTCGTTTCTAAGATATTTCCCATAATCCAGTAGCATAAACAGGTATGCTTTAAAGATAGTTGATTTATCATACACTTTGTTTGAATATATTTACTCTAAATGTTGAGAGATGCCCATAGTTTCAATTTCTTTCCTTGAAATATTCTAGCAGAATTTATAAAAAGGCAGGAAAGCTATATGAATTGTGTTTTTTCTTCTACCTTCAATCCTATCCAGAATGTAAGGACATTAGCTGTGTGTTAATTGTTCCTTCTTATGTGGAGGCATAGTTGTGTGTTACAAGATTTAGATTATTTTTCCAGTTTATTTTCTTTCATCATAAAAGTAATGCATAATCACTATAGAAAATGTTCAAGCTGTAAAAAAGGAAAACAAAAAGTATTATTCATAATTTATCACTAGAAATTTTAATTTTCTGATTCTCGATTTGCTCATATGTAATATGAGACTAAGTGTGCCTCTCTCACATTGTTGTATCAAGATATTAGTATTTCTTAAGCATTAGTATTTACTGAGGGTTTGCTGTGACCTCAGCAGCATACTATACTTGTTAAGTGTATTAATAACTAATTTAATCCTCACAACAACTGTATGGGGTAGGTACTTTATTAATCCCAATTTTACAGTTAAGGAACACTTTTTAAAGGACAAAAAGCAATTAAGGAAATTGAGACTTAGAGAGTTTCAATAACTTGTCAAAGGTTACAGAGCTCATTACTGGTTTGTAAAATAATAAGTTACAAACTCTAAAATGTAAGTTATCAATACCTTCAGCTCTCACTGGGGTATTTTTAGTGAATGTACACTATGGTACATTTTTTGTATGTTCACTTTCCATAAAAATCTCAGTGGCTACATTGATGGGTGTAATGAGGGCCACAGGATAAAATTTTGTGTTTCTCATCTGCCGACAGGACAGATGCTGCGGTGTGAACGGTCCATCAGACTGGCAGAAATATACGTCTGCCTTCCGGACTGAGAATAACGATGCTGACTATCCCTGGCCTCGTCAGTGCTGTGTTATGAACAAGCTGAAAGAACCTCTCAACGTGGAGGCCTGCAAACTAGGAGTGCCTGGTTATTACCACAGTCAGGTGAGTCCTTTCCCTGCAAGGCCTGCCAGAAGTTCCTTCGGTGCTTCATGAAAAGCATACTAGTTAACTATAGATAATGGTGTCTCAATAAGGAACTCTGCATCCTTTTTCCTATCGCTTATATTAATTGTTTTCTTCTCTGTTTGTGAATGCTAACATAGTGAAATGTGAATGCTAACCTAGGGCTGATCTGAGAAATTTTAATAAAATTAACAGGACATGAGAATAGTAATAGCAAAGTCCAACTTTATTTAAATGAAAATAATCTGTACAATGTATAGAATTGGTATCTCAAAAAAAATCTATTTTTGTAAAATGTGAATTGGAAGGAACAATATGAAAAAAGAAGTTTTGCCACTTCCAAAGCAATGGTGATTGCTAAGGGTAAGTGCAGTAATTATATATCCACATTCCTTATTCAGTAATAATGTAGGATAGTCTTAATAAAATATTAGGATAATGATTTGGGTAGAAGGTAATTTACATACAGATGGTTTTTTAAAAAATGTCTCCAGCCTAATGAGGATGATATAATGATGATGAAAAGTAACAATTACTGAGTACTTAAAATGCCAGAAACTACTCCTAGTGCCATACATACATATTAACTCATTTAGTGCTCAAAGCCGGGTGCCAGTACAATCCCTATTTTATGAATAAGGAACTGAAATACAGAGGTTCCAATAAATACCTTGCCCAAGGTCTTGCAGCTCGTAAAGAGCAGGGTGAGGCCTCCAGCGCTAGCCCTGTGGCTCCTGAGCCTGAACTCAAAGCTAAAAACAACTTGGAAATACTCCCAAAAGCCCTGAAGAGAATCCTCAACCATGAATGGTTAACCTCTAAAATGCTGAGCACTGCTTTGCAAGTAACCACTTTGAGGAAAGCTGCTTGTGTGCCTACTCATTAAATAATCAAGAAACATCAGCCTTTTTAGTCTTGGAGAGAATAATACAAAGTGTGCTTCCAGAATGAAGGGCATAGCACCGCTGACCATCCAGCCACGCCTGGACAGATGCCTGGGCTAGGATCAGGTTGCATTCATCTAGAAAAGGAAAACACAGAGTATTTTGCAGAGTTGTTCAAATGAACCCTCATTTAGCTTTTCAGCAACATTGTTTTTGAATTATTTGAATCAGTCATATTTACACAGCTATAAAAAATTAAATGCATGGCCTACAATTATAATGTGCAATATAATTGTCACTCTCAGGAGTCATAAAATGCTTTCAGTATTTCAGCCCTGGAACTGGCCCAGGCAGACATATCTTGATTGGACTGTAATTGCAAACAAACCGTATGATCTCTTTGAAAGAGACAAAAAGAGTGTCGCAGGTTCGATTCCCAGTCAGGGTACATGCCCGGGTTGCAGGCCATGACCCCCAGCAACCGCACATTGATGTTTCTCTCTCTATCTCCCATCCTTCCCTCTCTAAAAATAAATAAATAAAATCTTAAAAACAATAAAAAAGAACATCATAATTAAAAAAATTAAAAAGAAAAAAGGAAGGAAGGAAGGAAGGAAGGAAGGAACAAAAAGGATGTTTGCTTTCAGATAATCACTTTATCTCACAGCAATGCTATTATATTCTAATAATGAGGGATCACTACACCTGTTTTTACAACCCTTCTGGAACCAGCCCATGCACTTCCTTGGCCTCACCTTGTCCTTAACATTTCCACCTCCACTCCCCACCAGCTGCACCACAACTACAAACCTGTTATCACTCAACCCACTCCACAGTCAAGTTCCTGAATTCTGAAATTCTTCCTTTTGTCCCCGATTCCCTGTGTTCCTAACTTCTCAGTCTCACTCATTCTTCACCCTCAGCATAATCTCTTATGTATTAAATCCTCTCCCCATCTCTGTTCCCCAAATTCTTACACATCACCATTCTTCTAAGTTAGAGGGCCTGCTATTTTTCCTATAGCAATCCTGCTCCACAAAGCAAAACAAGCCACCCCACAACCTCATACGCTTCATGTCTATTATTGCAGTTGCCACCTTGAACTAAATTGTAATTACTTGTTTGCACGTCTGTTTTTTCTATTAGTCTACTTGAGGGCCGTGCATTATTTAGTTCTGTATTTTCAACACTTAGCATAATGCCTGGCACAAAGCAGGCATTGATAAATGTTTGGTGGGTGGGCAAATTAAAAGATGAATGGCTCTCTTTTTTGTGTTCATATTGTAGCTTTTCAAGATCTGCATTGTACAAATGAATGCTAACAAAATTAGGGAAGTCATCATAAGTGTGGTAATATAGAAATTGCCCACAGTCATACACAGTATTTCAGATGCAGATGTGCATATTCTCATGAGGTCTGACTGGGAAAAGTCCACCCATTGTTAATATCAAAGAGTGGTTTGCACAACATTGATGTAACTTGGCAGCCAAAGAGAATGGACTGGAATGCACGTGCATGAATGACAACTTCATTGTAGTAGTCAGTGGGGGTGGTAGATGCCACTGAGTGAGCATGTGGACTGTGTGGCCATCACAAATGACTGAGCAAGCAGAGCAATAAATCTGTTTCAAATTTTGTGTCAAGTTTGAACATTCCTCTGTGGTAACTATTCAATTGATGCTTAAGGCCACAACTAAGGGCAACTGGTGATTCATCACAACAATGCCCCCACTCATGCATCATGTCTCATGCAGTTTTTTGACAAAACATCAAATCACCCAGGTGACTCAGCCCCACCACAGCCCAGATTTGGCACCCTGTGACTTCTGACTTTTCCCAAAACTAAAATCACCTTTGAAAGGGAAGATATTTCAAACCATTGATGAAATTCAGGAAACAGGGCAGCTGATGGCAATTGGGAGAACTGTGTGAGGTCCCAAGGTTCCTACTTTGAAGAGGACTGAGGCATCATTGTCCTGTGTACAATGTTCTTGTATCTTGTACCTTCTTCAAAAAATGTCTTTATATTTCATACCACATGGCTGGATACCTTCTGGACAGACTTCATACATCATGGTCCATCTGCCCTAGAAATGCAATGTGCAAGTTTTGATCACTACCTTCAGAATGTTATGGTGGATGGAGCTAAGGAAGATCCAGTTAAGCACCACTATAAGAATGAAAAGGCACTAAGTGAGAAGGGAAAACACTGTGTTTTTGTTTGTGAGCTGCATGAGGGCAAGGCCCATTTCTGCCTTATCACAGTTGAGTGCCCAGCCCAGGGCCTGGCGCCTGACATAAGTGGGCTCATACATATTATTGGACAAATGACCACCTCCCAGGATTGTCGGATAAAGTGAATAATGGATACAGGAGTGTTTGTGAATGATCAACTGTGTCATATGCAATACTGTTGTATCATTATGTCACATCATGTTTCATTCATTCTATCAATGTTTATTAGGTGGCTACTTTGTGCTAGGCACTTGTTCTAGAGAGTCTAAAGATTCAAAAACAAACAGGGCAGAACCCCTGTCCTCTTAGCAGTCTGGCTCCAGAGCCCAGGCTCAAAGTCAAGAAAGAACATGAAAATAGTCCCAAAAAGCCCTGAAGAGACAGATGACAAATCACCAAATACGTGATAAATTGCAGGTAGTGATGAATGCCATGACAGAAATAAAGCAGGATATGTTTATAGAGAATCGTGGGGAAAAGGGTATTTGTCTCTACCATGGTCAGGAAAGGCATTGTTGAAATGATATTTGCACAGAGTTCTGAATTAGGTGAGAAAATAAGCACCTCACTTAGAGAAGATTGGGGAAGAGGGTTCTAAATGAAGGAGGCAGCAAGTGCAAAGGCCCTCAAGGAAGAGCATTCTTAGCTTTTTGGAGGAACATTGAGGACATCAATATGGCAAAGCCATGTGGCAAGGCCAGAATGAGTGAAGGAAGAGTGGAAGGCTGGGATGGGTCTAGATCTTGTAGGGACTGAAGCTTACAAAATTTGTAGAGAGGGGTCCTCCTTAGGAAAAACAATGAAAAATATGCACACAAAGTTAGGTACATGGCTTCCCTGGCCAGTGTGGCTCAGTGAGTTGGGCATCATCCTGAAAAGCAGAAGGTCTCCAGTTTTGATTCCTGGTCAGGGCACATGCTTGGGTTTTAGGCCAGGTCCAGTTGGGGGCATGCAAGAGGCAACCTATCAATGTTTCTCTTCCTGTCTTTCTCCCTCCCTTCCCCTCTCTAAAAATAAATAAGTGCCCTGGCTGGCGTAGCTCAGTGGATTGAGCGCAGGCTGCGAACCAAAGTGTCGCAGGTTCGATTCCCAGTCAGGGTACATGCCTGGGTTGCAGGCCATGACCCCCAGCAACCGCATATTGATGTTTCTCTCTCTCTCTTTCTCCCTCCCTTCCCTCTCTAAAAATAAATTTTAAAAATCTTTAAAAAAATAAAAATAAGCAAAATCATTTTTTAAAGTTAAAAAAATAAAAAATTAGGTACAGGACTTTGAAATGGTCTTGCAAACAGCAGCCCTGAAGCTCAAGCTCATTAGCTTTACAGTGACATAGCCTCTGGCAGTGAAGCTGGGATCTTAGGGAGAGGCAGGGCCATATCACACAGGGCCTGTAGGTCATTGTGAGGGCTCAGGATATCATTTTAAGGATGATGGGAAGCCACTGGAGGGTTTGGAGCAGGGAAGTGAAGTGATCTGACTCCTGTTTTACAAGGATCCCTCTGGCATCGTATGAATATTAGTAGAGAGCCAAGAGTGGACACGGGCCCACGGGAGACAAGTTAGATGGCTCTTGTAGTAATCCTGGAGTGAGGAGGACATGGTAGACCAACATGGTAGTGGGAATCAATTCATGTTTGGATTTGAGATATATTGTAAAAGTGGACCCAAAAGAATTATATATGATGTCAAATAAGAGAAAAACAATTTAGGGTAATTCCAAGATTTTTCATCTGAGCATCTAGGTGAATGGAGATGCCTGTAACATAGATGGAGAAGGATGAATTGGGGAGAAATCAAGGCATTGCAAGGCAGGGCATGCCAGTGGATTAACAAGGGACTGAGGCAGAACAGACTGAGCCTCAAGTGGCCACCTGTAGCCGCTGGGCAGGGCCTAAACTTCAAGGTCAGCCTGTTGAGAACATTTTCCTGTGAACCTCTGTGGTTCAGGGAACCAGCCTGTTTTTTGCATTTCCTAGGCATTCCCTGTGATTCCCAGGGCTCTAGAGAAGGTCACCAGAAAGTAGGTCTAGCCCTACACATGTCTATCACATCAGCGCTTCGCATAGTGACTAGAACAGAGTGTGCCGTATAAAAGCGTACTGGGTTGTGGCATGCATGAATGAATAACTGGATGGATAAAATGAATCACACTTTTGCACACACACTGAGACTCTTCAGAGTCCCACTGGAACAATAAAGAGATATGTTAAAATATGACATCAAATTAAAATTTAGAAAGCATGGTATAGGGGTTCCTTCAATGATTAAAAAAAAATCCCTCTGGTTTTTATAGACCAGAAGCACCTTGATTCAAAAACAAACCAAAAGTAACTCTGCCCTCAAACAAATCAGCAATAACATATTTTGGAAAAGAAAAAATGCAAATTTTATTAAGAATATTTTACATTACTCACGTATTCAATATGAAAAAATATTAGGCTAAATAGAAGCACCTTTTTAAAAAAAGCTTTAATTGGAAGTCATTACAAAAAAAATAGTAAGACCTTTGTTAGTTACATTGAATGATAAAGACAAAAACAAAGGTGATATAGAAAAGTTGTCTGACAGAATCATTTCTATTCCCTGGGCAAAGAGCTGTCAATAACTGTTAATAACTGGCATGGGGATGTGGAAATAGCCTAGACTTGGATTCACTTAACAGTCTGCTTCCCCCTGCATCTCTTACATCTCTCTCACTGGGTCCTCTCACACTGACGTGGGATCGCCTACTCCTCCAGGGCTGCTATGAACTGATCTCTGGACCAATGAACCGGCACGCCTGGGGGGTTGCCTGGTTTGGATTTGCCATTCTCTGCTGGACTGTGAGTATTACCTGGCACGTGCGTTATTTCTGAGCAGATGATAATAAGGAGGAAACTTGAGATTGCTCCTGCTTAGCCCAACCACACTAGACTGTCTGGAAATAAAACTTCAGGAAGCTGCTGGCACAGGAGTGAGGCCAGCAGTTTCCCTTGGGAGGTTCCCTGCCAGGGAAAGGATGCACCCTGTTAACCAGATCCTTCTTCTGAGTGGTTGGGATGCACTTGCCTGCTCCCCCAGTTCTCCAAATCTCACTAGCTCATTAGAATGGGTTATCAAAGACTGTCATCTATCTAGATGGCTCTGGCCAGACACTAATTTGCCCATCTCCTTCCAAAGAGCTGCCTCAGCCAGTCTCACCCGTCCTACCGCTCACGTTACTAGATGCACATGCAGCAAGAGGGTGCAGCGGTGGTTCTCCCTGGCTGTGCATCAAAGTCTCCGGTGGGTGGGGAAGGCAAGGTTGAAAAAAGCAAAGCATGCCTGCACCCCAACCTCTTGCAGAGCCCATTTTTAATAAAGTTTTTCCAGATGATTCTAATTTCCTGTCAGGATTCAGAGTTATTGCATTAGGGAAACAGTCCTAAACTTAATTTCAGAACCCCTTCATTCTCTCAAAATACCAAGGTCTTCTAAGAGCTTTTGTCTATGGAGGCTATCTTTATCGACATTTACACTATTGAAAAGTAACACAGAAATTTCAATATACTTACTAATAAATCAGTTGCTTGTTAGCATTAACAACGTATTTTTGTGGAAAAAGTAACTGTTTTCCACCACAGAAAGGTAATGAGAAAAGGAGTAATGAGAAATGTTTCACATTTTTTAAAGCTTCTTCAATGTGTGGCAGAAGAACAGACAGCTGGATTCTCATATTCAGTTTTTCAGTCAATCTGTTATAATATGTTGCTTAGGTTGAAGGATTTGAAGAAAATCCATCCTCACACAGATAAATAGTTGAAAAAACAACAGGAATGTTTCAGTAGCCTTACTTAAAGATAAGTGTGAACATTCTTCTTCGGTATTAGACAAAACTTGACAAGTAATATTTTTAAGGGTTGGCTGCAATACAGAATCTAAAACTGTCAATGAACTTCAGACTCTGTTACATTAGAATACATTACATTGGTTTGTCTTGCACTTGGCATAAATCTTTTACTCATGTACAATTCTATATCATTGTGCATTGGTTATTTGGAAAAATATTGATTCACTGTGTCATGTAATCTTCCAAATGTTGGTCAATTTCTTCATGCAATACCAAGAAATTGCATTCATTGATATTGCCATGTTGGAAGAGAATTTAAGTACTGGGATGCTAGCAAGTTCGTGGTGTCAAATACAAGTTTTATGATTTTGGTTTGAAAGCTCAGATTTATCACTAGCAACAAATATCGTCAGCTGTTTTCCTCAAAATGACAGACTCACTTTACAACTTTCCAAGAAAATGTCTGCAAACATCCAACTCTAAATAACCATAGCTCATCTGTTAGTCATTTTTTTTTTCAAGTAAAAATGGTGTTCCATGAAAAAATAACCAGTTCGGTGCACAACTCAGTCACCTAAGTGCTTTTCCTCAAGACAACCATCCTACTTCCATTTGCAACAAAACCGCTTTAGGGATACTTCCTTTCTGTCAGATGGAATACTAAAAAGATGTGTCCTGAAAGGTCAACATTTAATACAATCAGTGATTCTTACTGTTTCATCAAGGACAATCTCAAGTAAAACTGGCGTTTTGTTCTCCTACAAGCGCATAGCAGTGAAGGATTCGTGTCTCTGCCTTGAATTTTGCTAAGATGCCAACATTTTTTCCTTCCACTGCCTTCACACCATCCGTGCAAATGTGAACATAGCAGAAAGGGCAAATAAAGTCTTGATATTGTTATGTAAATATTCTTTTACTGTAGACCCCTAAAAGGGCTATCAGTTGTTTGTACACCACACTTGAAGAAATGTTGGGATTTGTGCACCTGCAACCTACATAATTTTGTTAACCAATGTCACCTCAGTAAATTCAGTAATTAATTAATTAATTAATTAAATGTTGGGTTTGGGGTGAGAAACTGAGTGAGGCAGGAAGGAAGGGAAAATCAACTCCTTTGAGAGGCTTCTATGAGCCCTCAGTCTACGCTGTCAGGAGCCCCTGAGACACCCTGCACGCACCTCCCGCTGGGAACCACTGCTGTGTGAGGGCTTGTGTCTTCCCAAAGGCTGGCGACCAGTGCCTGGCAGAGCATGCAGTAAGCGCTTAATCCCTATTGAGTGAATGAAAAATGGTAACAGTGAAGTTTCTTTTGTGTCATGCTGGCAGAAATTATATGGGCTAATGTTTAAAGGCTTTTGAGAATCTTAGAACTCCAGATCAGTTGAAATCTTTGATATTGCTACAAGCATCAAATGGTCTGGACTCTGGATCTTGTAAGTCCTCTTGAAGTTCAAAATAGGAAAGGGATCTAGGTCTACTGAAGGCCTGCTACAGAGAAGGCACCATGTCAAATACTCTTAACATTAAATCCCCACAACAGTTGCTAGGTAGGTGGCCAGACATCTTTCTTACAAGGAACAGAGAAATTCAACAGGGTTCCTAAGAACTGTGCTTAAGAAGAGATCTTGGGCAGGTCCAGTTCACTGCTGCTTACAGCTTTCTCATAGTGGTTAAACGGATAAACTCGGAAGCTAACCAACCACCTGGGCTTGACCCCCAGCTTCACCACCTGCTAGTTCTATGGCCTTGTGTAAGTTACGTATCTTCTCTGGGCCTCAGTTTCCTACAGGGTTTTGGAAGCACTAAATTGAGTTATATGTGTAGGTATTAGAACAGGGCCTGATATATAGTAAGTCATCAATAAACATTAGACACTATTATTACTTCATTATCTCATTCAATCTTTCAACTCTGGAATCAGTGAGGATGTCATTATATTACCTTGCAGATGCAGGGAGTGGCTGGCAGATCTGCCACAGAACCCATATATTCTAACCCCTGGCCTGAGGCAAATATCTTGAGTGTCTGGAGGGCAGCTGTTCATCACAAGCACTTTTGGGAAAAGAGAGAGTCCCCTGGGAAGAGAAGTTCATACTAGAAGCAAGAAATTCATATTCCAAAATGACACATACCAGAAGTAGAAATGCAGTAGAGGGTAAGAAGCCCTGACAGGAAGAAGGAAGAACTTTCAAGGGGGTTAGTTGAACATAGAAATGACTGATGTTATTTAGGCAAGAGTACCCTTAAAAATTCATTGTCACAAAGCCTAACATCATTTTTCTCCCAGTATGAGATGTTCCTAAACCAATTCCTTATTAATTTTTTCTTTTTATATTCTAGTTTTGGGTTCTCCTGGGTACCATGTTCTACTGGAGCAGAATTGAATATTAAAAGACAGTGTCCGCCTTCCCCCAGTGACTCTGGATCTGGTGCTGGAACTGCTCTCTCCCGACACTCCACGTGTGTGCCCCCTGGGCACATGTCCTCACTCAAGTTGCCACATCAGTTGGTATGGAGCTCCTTCAGGCTCTCGGACTCCTGAAATTCTCAGCACTGTGTTTTTACCCTGGTCTAGGATTCTACAATATTTTATTGTTTGTTGGAGTGGGAGACTTTGGAAAAGAGGCAATAACTACTCCCATTCCTGTTCACTTTTAATTTGGGGGCATAGAAACATTCACAGGAGCCTGTGTTATCACAGCCAACCAAGTCTATTTGTACACCAAATCTGCCTGTATTTCCCACTACTTTTGAAATGACGCTTTCAAAGGCTTTCATTCATCTCCATTTGTGAAAGAACCAAGGAAAGGTGCCTTTTTTTTCTATGTACCTTTTGCCTTTTGTTCTACGGTAGCTCCCATATATGGACACTCAGGCAATTCTTTTAATGCCACTTTGGGATCCTTTTACTCTCCAGGACAGTGCCCAATCTTCAGTTAACAATGCCCAGTGCCCTCTTGGACATTGTAGACTGTATGTGTTTAGTAACCTCAGCCTCCCATTAATTAAAAGTTTTGGGCTTTTTGGGACAAAGTAGAGGCCTTTTACATGTATTTACCATTCTCAAATGGAAACACCTTTCAAATAGAGGAGAGGCAAGCCAGCTACTAGATAGGTGATTTATGGTGATTTTTGTTTACTGTCAAAAGGTTTCTCTTTTGAACCATGTTTTCATTTGTGGCCCTGAAGAAAGTTCATATAACTCAGCATCTGTCTTATAAATAAAGAGGGCCTTTAATATATTCACTTTCTTTTGTTCTTACCAGTGTCCTAACTGGTCATATGAGTCTAACAAAATGGATTTTCCAATGAATGCAAGAGCTTATTAGGCTCATGGGAATTAAAGTTCAGAAGATGGAAAATGCAATAGGGTGTGGTTTCCTGTTGGACATCAGTAACCCTGCTAGACAGTTAAATGGTTAGAATTTCTACATTTACCTTTACTTTTTGCTCCTACTACGCTGAAGCCCAGCAGTGGTGATGGAGCTGCTGCTTCTCAAATCTTTTTCCTCTCTTGCCCTTGGAAACAAGGGAAGCATCCCTGACTCCAACTACTGAACTGTCTCCTATGAAGAAAATGTACCTGTCACTTCAGGGTTCTACTCCCAGCTGACTCAACCAGAGGGAGTACCCCAATGCCACAGCCCCCCCGACCAGGTTCCTGTGAGTTAGGCTGATGAGAGAGGAACAGAGGGCACACCTCTGCTGTACCCTTGTGGGGCTAAAGGCGCGCATCCTGACGCACAGTTGGCCCGTCCTGCCCCTGTCTCACTTCATTTCTCCAGACACAGCTTGGGTGTCGAGATAAATGACACCTACATTTGGCTGAGAAGGTTCTGTCTGTGTTTTTTAGGAGACAGGAAGAGGCAGAAGAAACTTACTCTGGGCTAAGCTTTGAAATGCCTCTGTCCCACCTCCCCTTACATACACTCCTGTGTCCCGGTGCCTTTTTCTTCCACTGCTAACCAGGTTTTCCATTGTCCTCCTGCTCTCCACTGGCTGAGCAAGTCCTGCCCACCCTGCCTTCCTCTCCAGAGCTTCATGCTTCACATACAAAATTCCATTCTCCTTGTGATTGGATCTCAGCTACATTAAGATAAAACCTTTTGGAAAACTAATTCTTACTAAGGGGTGAGTGACAACTAGTGCCCACCCCCCTTAATCTTCTCTATAGGTTTTTCCTTGATAACAGAAACTGATCTCCAGTTGGTGGAAGCTGAGGCAGCCATGGGAGCAGGAAAGAACTATTATAAGGGAAGATGGCCCACCTGCTGCTCCTTAAATCTTACTACCTGCCTTCTCTGCGAAGAAGTAACTAGAAAGAGAATGAGTCTTCAGTTAGCAGATGCCCCACCCCCTCCAGCTAGCTTCCTACATGGAGCCTCATCCTTCACAGAAGGTGCCAATTCGCCCAAAGATGTATATGGACAGGTTCTACTGCTCCCAAAACCAAATAAGGCTCTGAACCCACCATGTCCGAGCCCCCAACACTTGGGGAGGACACACCTTTCGGCCATGACAGACCTAGGCCCGAGGACTCCCCTACAGAAAATTCAGCCATTTAAGACTTCTGCGTGTCCTGCTATAGGGTCTTCAGTGTAACCTCAGGGCAGTTTGTGCTCTGCCAAGTTCCTGCTTCCATCCCCCTCTGCCTTCCCTGGAAATCCAGTCTTTCCCCTCTTCCCTCCAGGATCTGATATTAGAAGGGGACTCACAGTGAGAACCTAGCCATTGTTCAGGGTGAGGCCCAGGCCCAGCCTCACCAGAACCACCTCCAGCTCCACCAGACCAGGGAGGGGGAAAGAGAGCTGGAGAGCCCAGATGCTAGCAGGTTGCTGGGTTTAAGACATGTCCACACAAAGCCATCTTATGAAACCTCCCACTTCAAGTCTGTCCTCCTGCTTATCAGGTGGGCAAGGAAAAATGATTACCTAACACCAGACATGTGTCAGACTAACTCTTGGGTAAGTTTTACCTGATTGCAACACCAGAGGGGTCATTCTGCTCTCTTGATTGGCCATTCCCTCTGCAGCTTGCTACCAGGCTCCCAGCAGGCTGTTTACACTGAGCATTAGAAAGCCCGCTGCTCATATTTTCAGCTCTGTAGCTTTTCTTTTTATCCCCATCAGCTATAATAAATAGGAACTGCTTCTTTCCCTAAGCAGCAGATCAGGTACTCTCTGGATACCAATCAAGAAAAGAAGGAATAATAATAACCATGAGAATTTGAAAATCTAATCTCCTCTCTCTTCTACCCCAATCCCAGCCAAACTGATTGACCAGCTGGGCTACGGTTAAGGGATTGGAAACTGAGCTTGTTTCTCATTTCTATTGACTGAACAATTTCCTTTCTCCTTCTGTATCCAGTATTTCCTCTAGTTTCTCTCCCCTGCTTCACCTCATTCAGACCCTTATCACATCCTGTACCAGGACTAAATCAAAGAAGAAACCCAAAGGAGTTGTAAGCTATTGAGTTTGCTTTCATGTGTGACATGTTTATAATTCGGATCAAGTGCCCACATCCAATGAGGAGATCCAAAAACGGCTTGGGAAAAGGCAGCATTCCTGAGAAATGCATTGTTCCCAGATCCTTCCCCAACCCTCCCCACCCCCAGGCCCCAGCGCTCCCAAACACACACACCCGAGGGAGACAAACAGCCAAGTCCAGGTGTTAAAGAGAAATGGTGCCATCATGCCCTGCTTTCTAGTGGCCTCTACTCCGATTTGAAAAGGAAAAAAAGAGAAGCCCCTGACCTTCGGAAGCTAGACTGGCACTCACAACGAGGCCATGCTATTCTCCTATTAGACATAAACAATCTCATAGAATCCCAACCTCAGATAAGGTTACTCTGTGACCAAGATAAAAAGAGGCAAAGCAAAGCCACTTTACAATTCTAAGCACAGACAAAAAAAGGCCACTGTGCCACCCACAAAACACCAAACACACCCTTTCCTAGCTAGAACGAGTGGCTGCTATGTGTTCACCCATTACAGCTTTATTTCCCTGCTAGTCCTTCCCTATGGATAAAATGTATGGAGATGCAGTCACAGAACTGTCCCCACCTTCTGACGGGATCCCATAGAAAGCACTTCTTGCATCCTCAGAACCTCCTCAAGTGACCCAACACAAACCCAAATGCTATCATAGATTCTTTGTAACTCCTTTTTCCTGAGATACCTCATAGTTCCCCATGGTATGTTCTCAGTCACTGCAATGAAGCATAATCCCACTTTATTTATCTGCAGATGTATTCCTGAGGGGCCTCTGGTTGAAGGACATGACACCCTCCAAATGTTTGCCCATCCTATTTCCTATCTTTGTGTGTTTGTCTGTGACCACGAAATGGTTAAGAACATGAGCTTTGGAGTCAGATACCTGGCTTCAAACTGCAGCTCTGCATGACTCTGGCAGGTCACCTGACCTTTCAGAAACTGCTTCAGGAAACCTTGTCTGTCCTCACGTGGAACTGGGAGAATTCAGCAACACATGCAGTGTGCATTAGAATAGTTAACAACCTGTAAGAAATACCATAGGAAATTATAACATAAATCTGGTCCAAAGAACTCTGCTTGGACCGTAATCCCTGGGAACATGCCAACCAATGTCATCTTGCTTCAATTTATTGCAATAACTTTAATGACTGAATATTTTGGTCCAAATCAACTGGCCCTCAAACAACAGCTATGAGTAATAGCTTTCCAGCAGAACTCCTACTCCATAGTGGAAGAATGTACTAGGGTCATCAAGATAAGGCATTTTAATGGATACATCTCAGGTTGTGTATTATTTTTAGCTACAAATGATATCTCTGCCTGTGCTGCCTTCACAGAGAAACCTCACAATATCCTGACAATAGGACATTCCAAGGGATTCGGGGAGATCAAGATATTGGAGTCAAGAGACCCTCTTACTGATTTTGGGAAGTTATTTAACTTGAATGTTTTCTCTTTGCAGTATGTATAGTACCTACAGGGCTATTGGAAAGTTAAAATGAAAAACACAGGGAAATTGACTAATAAGAAGCAGGCATTCAATTATTGTTATGCCCTATCCTTTACAACCTCTCCCCCAAGGTCCAAAATTACACAAATACCCCCGAGACATGCAGGCAGGGTTCAATTTTATTTGCATTTCAACTTCAATGGTTGTCAATGGAATGGTGAAGACTCTGCCTGTACAAGTATTCCCCCTGGGGGTGGGTCCTCTCAGCCCTTTTGAGACCTATCAGACCTTCTCAAGGGGGCAACAACTTACATATACAAGGAACTAAGAAATAGACTTTTAAAAAGAAGTTTTAGAATGCGACTGGCAAAAAAGAAATTATGAAATGTGCCTATCTTATGGGGCGTATTCATGGCTTTTCACAGGGACTGTATATGTGCAGGATGTGGGGAAAGTGGAGGTTTCAAGTCTGGCAGAAAAGGTTTCAACTCACCTAAGAGCATTCACAGAGCATTTTGGGGCCCCCAGGAAACGAGTCTGATAGGAGCTTGAGTGGAAGTGAGGGCACTAGGGGCCAAAACACCAGGTGGGATGTCTGGGGGAAAGCTCAAAGACCAAATGAGAATGGAACATACTCTTTAAGGCCCAGAAGTACCGACCTTCTCCAGGAGCTAGGACGGGGATTTAGATTCAGAAAAACTACCTCAAAGAATGAGAGACACCAGGTGAAGGAATTATTGGGTAATGATCTTTGTAGTCAGAAGACCTGAGTCTGTGCCCCAAGTTTGCCACTTACTAGCCATGGGACTTCTGGCAAGCACCCCACCTGTTTTCAGCCTCCACTTCCTCAATCTACCCTTCTTATCTCAGGATTCTACAGGACCAATAAAGTACATGTAAAAACACTGCAGGCCATAGAGTGCTATAAGTGGTAGTAAGGAAATTAACCAATAAAAATTTCAAAGTAGCACAGCCTTCATGCGAAGTATGGTGGTATCCAAACAGACTGCACCCATATGATCCTTAGCAATGCTGGTAGGTGTATCTACAACAGGCAAACAACTTGTCCTCTTAGTGGCAGTTGACAATAAAAAATACACAGGGCAGGAATTATAGGAAAGCTCAGTTCCTCGGAGACCAACCTCTCCTGCCCAGCTGTGACGGGGTGGCAGGATGGCAGCCATCAAGCAGGTGGCCACCTGCCTCCAGCCGGTCACTGGGCCTCAATTTTTAGTGCAGGTAAAATGGCACAGTGGCAAAATAAACATCTTAAAAATTATTTTCTGCCTCAAGAAGTTTCGTAATGAGTCATTTAAATGACTGTACCTTATCTGGGTTGAAAGAATTATCTGAAGAATAGTAATAGGCATAGTACAGTGATTACTAGCATTTTGAAAAATGCAGATGGCTTGTTAATAGCTGAAAATACAAGGGATTTTCCACATGGTAGTAACTGTATTTCACTTCCATTGAATGAGAAACGGAGTTCTCAAATATAGGTCCCCGACTTCCTTATACACACGATTCTCTTGCTTTACCTTCCCCAACCATGTGGGACCCACAGACTCCAGAATGGGGACCCCCTGGCATGGGCTGTTGGCCATTACGGTAGTTCAGCATGCATGTTGTTGTATTTAAGAAAATTGGAATAGAATGCTAAAGAAAGATTCTGCAGGAGAGAGAAGAGCAAGAGAGGGAAAATATGAAACCCATCCATTCTTTCTGTGTTAATAAAGAAAAATATATAGCCCTGGCTGGCGTAGCTCAGTGGATTGAGCGCGGGCTGGGAACCAAAGTGTCCCAGGTTCGATTCCCAGCCAGGGTACATTCCTGGGTTGCAGGCCATGACCCCCAGCAACCGCACATTGATGTTTCTCTCTCTCTCTCTCTCTCTCTCCCTCTTCCCCTTCCCTCTCTAAAAATAAATAAATTATTTAAAAAAAAGAAAAAGAAAAATATAAAGTTTTTACTTGTTCTTACTGAGTTAAAGGTAAACCAGGCCAGCCCTAGGTAAACCTATCATGTCTATAAAATGTATTTTCCTTTCATCCAGATTCTCCTCTACTTGGCTGATGATTGCTGTCTTTCTTGGGAGCCCATTTCCTCCCTCTTCCTTCTTGGGAAGGATATTATTTACACCTTCTGGCTGACACTCATTCATGGTCAAATTTTAAAAAGTGTCATAATAATGATGGACAGAGACCCTAAGGCATGGTGGTGTAGTAATCGTTTAAGAACATCCATATCTGCATTATATATGTGTCCATTCACCTACACAAACAAAATACTTTTTTGTTCTCTTGACTCAGTATTCATCTCCTATTACCTTCCTTAGAGTATCCTTCCACATCCCAGCCCACTCCCCAGGAAGCTCAGCAGTACTGGTGGCTTGCTTCTCTCCCAAATCACTGCCACTACTCAAATCCCTGCCATGGTCACACCTTCCTTCCAAATGAAGGGCTTTCCAAGCCCTGAGTTCCATCCCTTCCTGTCCTATGCCCAACCAGCTGTGTCCCTTTGGCCAACCCTGCTGCACCCACTGCCCATAATAAGAAAGGAACAGAAGACAATATAAAGAACAAAACTGCAATGTGACCCAGGAAACCAGAGACGGAGGTACCGGCCACAGCCTGGAGCTGGTTATACAAGGCGGATGTACAGAGGAAGAGCAGGAGAGAGGCACAGAAGGATGAAGAAGAGAGGGAACAGGAGGGCTCGGTCTCCTTTTTGTTTTTAAGCTGTTTAGGACTACGGATACTGAAATAAACATACCTGTAGGCCTCACACAATAGTAAAAAACAAGATTGAGCACCCAAAGCTTATTTATATTTTACTGCAGAGGTATTTTTGATGTATTATTAGTTAATATGTAATTTGTAAACTGCTAATTCATATCCTACATGTACAAAATCATTTTACAAAAATGCTTTAAAAAACCAGTAGATAATGTATTTCCTACTGGGGTCATCCTGAAAGGAGCATCCGGCCAGCGACACCACATACAGTATGAGCAGCAGCAGCAGCCAGCACAACCCTGGCTGCCTCTCTGTCCGACAGTCCTCCCACCACCTCTTAAGTTCCCAAGTTCACTGCATCTTGGTTCTTCACCTTTCTCGCATCTCCTGCCGCTGACTTCTCACGTGGGACCTGCCTCTTCACAGATGACCATGCAGGACATATGAGTCAAGCAAATACATCGTCGTACCTTTCTCCCTCCATCCAAAACAGGTCTCGTTTTCTGACATTCAGCAATCTTATTTCCTGTGGCCTTTTTTATCCCACAATGTATCACTTCAGAGTTAAATAAATCTCCTTTAATTAGCATTCTCAAGTAGCCTACGTGATATCCTCTGAGTCTTCCTTTTACACTTAGTCCTTCAAGTATCTATATTACAATATTTTAACCTTCATAATCAAAATAACTAAGAAAGCTCATTCCATCTCACCAGGAGCTCTACTAAGAAAATACAAAAAGGAAAAATTCAGCTTGTTAAATTAGCTGCAACAAGTTCTTACTATGTGCTACTAGGGCAAGACTCCTGGCCAAAATTATTGCAATCAAATCTTCAGTTCTTCCCAACATCACCAGACAATATGGGGTCAGGGGCCAGACCAGAAATCCACTGTGATGTTGACATATAAAGGATTGTAATCCACAGACAGTAATTTATAAACACAACTGTTCAACCCATCTGTTTTCCAGACTCGTGACACCTGATGTAAGAGCTTCATCCTAAAGATAAAAAGAACAAATGTGAATGGTAAGACAAAAGTTAACTTGTATTTCCATTGCTTTTTGTCTTGCCACAAAATTTAACGAAAGCACCTTGGTAAATTATTACACCTGTTGGGTTTTCTACTGCAGAAAAGTTTATTTTCCCATCTAAGGTAGACAACAATGACAGCCATGTATTCATGTGTTGAGCCCCAAGTGAGGCCCTGGAGACCAATGATGAAAAGTGTCATATAATAATGACACTTGCATTCAGGGAGTCCCCAGTCTACAGGACAGAAGGACATGCAGGTAACACTGACACAATGTGAAATGTGTCATCCACTGCTGACAGGTCCTTGGACAAGCTTCAGGGGATCTATGAATCCTCCAATGTTGTTGGGGAAATCGTGTCTGTACGCAGGCAAGACACCTGGCTTTCCTGAAAGTTTCAAAGAAAGTCAGAATGTAGGTACAGAAGGATGAGTTAAGGGCACCTAACTCCATAATGGAGTCTGGACAATGGTCAGGGAAAAGGAAAATTTGACTTGAGGCCTAAAAGAGAAGAAATGCACCAAGTGAAGAAGGTGAGGGGAAGGATGCAGAGGAAGAGAAGCCGCCCTGTGCAAGAGACATGGACACACAAACCAACAGAATGCACTTGAAGAATACATAATTGCGTGGTTGCAACCCTGGGATGTGGGAAGAGTGGGTGGGTGGTGGTCTGAGCTGGTCTCTGAGAGCCTAGCAGTGAAAAACAATCCACATCAGTCACAGTAACAATGTGGGTGGAGATCAGAAGCATAATGTTGACCTAAATAAAATCAGAGGAAAATAATACAGCATGATTTCATTTACATAAAATTGAAAGACATGCAAACTAAACAACCTTTTGTATAGGGATACAACTATATGGGAAAACAAGAAAACTGAGAAACAGCACAAATAATTATCACAAAAATTCGGAAAATTGTCATCTCTGGTCATGGGGGTGGGACAGATATGAAATTAGGGAGGGCCACACAGGTAACAGGCATGAATTGGGAGGGGACACCACCTATGTTCATGGTATCAAGAATCTTCAGATTTTTCATCCAATTTAAAAATATTCCTTTTATCTATTCAATAATATTTTTTTATTTAAAAAAATGCATACCTATGGACAGAAACTAGTAAGACACATGGAAAATAGAAATAGCTATTTTGTGAAAGTGGTAGATTCTAACAAAAGGACTAAATGCCTTTTAATATTGTTTTAAAATATAGACTCTGTAATAATGCCCTGTAAAATTGAGCTAAAAGCCTCCTAAAACTGTTTTAAAATGTACTCTAACAAAAGGGCCAAAAGCCCTTTAATGCTGTTTTAAAAGTTAGGAGGGGAAAAACACAATAAAGAATATAGATTCTTCAGTCTTAGTCCCATAAAGAACTGGCTTATTTGTCAGCATTCCCTACTGAAAGGGCTGATTCCTGGGGCAGAAGCACAAGGTGAGCCTAGAACAGCTCATCTCACTGGAGCACAGGGAAGGAAGCTCTCAAAACTAGTGTCATTACGTCAGAGGATCCAGGAGTCAACATGAAGATGACGCCATTTGCCAAAGACAAAGCAAGCTGAGCATTGAGAAGAATATTAACTCCATCCTGAAGGATGCCAGGGAACATCAACTCATCATTTTGAAAAGTGAAAAAGCAATGCTGATTCTTTCCCTTTATTCTGCCTTTGCTATATGAACTGTACCCCAGGGCACTCAAATAGATGTAGAGGGCAAGTCCTTCTTTGTAGAAAGATCAATCTAATGATGCAGAAGGAATAATACACTATCAGAATTTTGTAATCCCTAACTGAGTCATAAATTTAGGCAGTAATCAGCAATGGCAATGGCTGCTAAAACGATTAGGTAAAAAGCTGGTGGGAAACCTCACAATGAGAAGACAGGGCTGACAAAGCCTGAACCCACAGACCCTGTTATCACAAAGATACAACCAGACATCCCGTCCTGTTGTGGCACAAGAGCAGGTACATGGCATCATCCATGAAGTATTCTTGCCCTGAAATAGTACTGAGTCTGTCAAGCCTCAAGATCTAACTCCAGTTCACAAGGAAACACTGAGGTCACGGGCACATACTAAGTTTTACCACTGAGATACAGCTGGCAAAATCCCCAATGCAGGAAATTCCATCAGACAAATGACATGGTTTGTTCAACAAATAAATTGCAATGGGGAAAAAAAAAAGAGGGGAGAGGGAATCTGCAGACTAAAAGAGATTTCAGAGAGATCCAAATGCAACTGTGGATGGAACTTGTCTGGGTCCTAATTGGAATAGAGCCAAGGTTTTTTGTTTTGTTCTGTTTTTGTTCTTTGCGGGGAAGCATTTATGAGATAATCAGGGAAGTCTAAACACTGACTGGATAATTTGATGATATTAAGAAAGCCTGGCTGGCGTAGCTCAGTGGATTGAGCGCGGGCTGGGAACCAAAGTGTCCCAGGTTCGATTCCCAGCCAGGGTACATTCCTGGGTTGCAGGCCATAAACCCCAGCAACCGCACATTGATGTTTCTCTCTCTCCCTCTCTCTATCGCCCTCCCTTCCCTCTCTAAAAATAAATAAATAAAATATTAAAAAAAAAAAGTATTGTTAATTTTATTTTAGGTATGATAATGGTATAGTGGTTCTTTTCTAAAAATTTCTTATATTTTAAGGATACATACGGAAGTATTTACACATGAGATGCTGTGATATCTAGGGTCTGCTTCTACATAATCCAGTGGAGGAGGAAAAAAATGTAGGAGAAAGAAGAGAGGCAGGTGTGGGGTACGTGAGGGTGCGATATACCATTGCCTCTACTTCTGTGTCAGTTTGAAAATTATCTCAATAAAAACTTTGAACAAAATAAACAGGCTCATCTGATCAGACTCAGCAGTTCCCTTAGTGGCAGAAGAGGCTAAGCAGGTACAACCACCAGGCATGTGAAGCCAGGACTTACCGTTCTCCATTCACCTCGTTGCCTTGGTCTCTAGTGTGGAAGATCATTGTATATTTACCCACATCAGGCACTGGCCGGATTATTTTCATTCTATGAAGCTCAACCCTAAAAAAATAACAGAGGTGGTTTTTTTTTTAATTCCATCCTACTTATCTACCACTAGGCACTCAAAAAGAATCATTTCCAAAATGTACACATGTGCACACACACAGAGACACAAACGGTTTGATTATTTGGGTATTAAAGAGAATTTTCTTATAATGTTGGGTCTCAGGCAGTAAGTCCATAAAAAATTCACATTTAACATTTACTCCTGTGGTAAAAAAGAGGTATGTCAACTCATAGTTTGTCATTTTCCAAAATAACTGAGAAAATACATGTTTTAAAACATCATGACACAAGGTATATAAATGTCTAATCTCAATGTTCAACACCTGAAATTTATATAATATTGTATGTCAACTATAATTGAAAAATAAATTTTAAAAAATTACGATGAACAGGAGAATCAAGTCTCTTGTGATCCCTAGTTTACTTAGTTCTTCCTTCTTTAACAGAGAAAGTAACAATCTTTTAAAGTCACAAGCTTCAAAGACCATGAGCCTAGGTTTGAATCTAGATTTTGTTATTTTCAACCTTGGTAAGTCAGTTCATTGTTTCGGGTCTTGGTTTCCCATGTATAAAATGCCAGTGGTGTCCTGGCACTGGTCAGGCACAAACGAGGAAGTCCGCAAGGTGCACACTTTGCAAACGATAGTGTAATGTATATGTGCAAAGAGGGGCAGCTCCTGCTGCACAAGTAAGTAAATATTTAGTGAATAAACCTCATCCAACTTTTATATTCAAATCATTTAGTTATCAATAGTTAGTCAAGAACCACTCTGAAGGCCCTGATGTTCTTAACAAATAAAAGCAAACCTTGGCACTCCCCTCAGCCTTGAAGCCAAGGAGCACAGGAAGAAAGACTGTTGATATAGGATCAGTGAAAAATTCTAACCTTCCCATGTAGGCCGTAATGTAGACTTTGGGAAGGTGATGGAGATTGTTTACCTCTAGCCTTTGCTACTCTTGCCCTGAAATCTAGCTCTGTCTACTTCATAAGCCCTGGCCCCATTGGCTGGTGATGGGATGGGCCTTGAAGAGCTGTTGCCTGTCACATGGCCCTTCTTATGGCGACTTTGGTCAGGGAAATCTACTCTCCCCCTGCCACAAACATCCCAGGGACTCTCAGCCTACACATGGGAATAAGACCAGCAGGGAGCCCTGGATTCTTTATGCTGAAGGGAAAAGTTCTGGCAGTCACATATCTATTAATTCAAAACTGCAGCTAAGAAAGTTCCTTTCCAAGAAACAAAAAACAGCAGGAGGAAGGGAGGGTCTCCTGATAGCCTGAAAGACCTTGTTACTACAAGTTTAAAGATACTGGCTCTTGAATCATTACTTATTTCTGATAAGTAGGGCTACCCATAACTACCTGGCCACAAAACCCAAATTCAGGGGAGGTTGCCAAGAGGGGAGGCCACATATAGTCCTTTTGAAGTCCTCAGGGCAGAAAACAGTCCAGGAGAATCTGAGGATAATGCTAGCAGCCTGGAGCCTAGCCTGGGAGTCAGGCCAGCAGCTACCCCCACAGTAGGTGGGGCTGGCTAATGCCTGATGGAGAAGACATCTTGGCCTGCTTCAGGGAGTGCAGGTCCTCACAGGCTTTTGGCACTCCCTGCTTTGGACACTGTGAACTGTGCAGGATTCCCCAGTGTCTGGGAGAAAGCATAGGCTTGTACTGGGCCCTCTGACCACTGTCCTCAAATTGCACCTTTGTGGACCTTCCACAATTTGGGACTTTTCATTCACTGGTGAGACCCTTCTCGGTAAGCAATGCCCACTGACAAGTCCGCAGAGACCTCCATCAACACTTGTGGACCCCTAACACTCACAAGCCAGAAACAGGCCACCTGCCATCACCTCCACACTGCCAGTGTAAAGAGCAATTTGGGTCATCTTGCCTGCCCTCTGCACCTGCCTCCCTATAAACCCGAAGCCTCCTGCCCTGCTGGGCTGGCATCTGCAGATGCCATAAAACGTAGGCTTCCAGAGCCATCACTGATAGCAAAGCCCTGTGAAGGGGACCTGTCTCTGTTGTTCACCTGAGTCTGAGGTCATCGTCTTCGCCTCCCCATCCCCAGTAGTTGTTAGAGAATCCATTCACCTTGAAAAATTGCTCTCTTCTTAGGGCAGTAACACCCCCAAAATATCCACTGTAACGTAACCTAAAGCAGAAGAGAGGAGAGAACAAGAACATTAGCACAGCCTCTTTGTTCTCCACAGACACTTGAGGAGTCTCTGATTCCAGGCTGACATTCTAGGAACACAGTGAAGACCATGCACTCCACCCAACCATTCCTGCTGGGCATCCACCTCCCAACATTCCTGGCCTGCCCTGTTGCCCTCCATTCCTCTGCTGAGACAAGGGCTTACATACCTTCACTAAGCAAGGTGCCACCCACCTGTTATTGTTATTGTTCAATGTTTGCGTGCAGTGGTCTAAAGAGGTACCTGTAAGTGTGCACCATAACATCAGATGTGAATGGCAGATTTCATCTCATGTGCCAATCCAATGCAGTCATAGCTATCAGAGGCACTGGGTTAAGAAGGATTCTGAGGTTGCACCCAGGTTCAGCATGAATAAGTGTCATAGAGAATATACTGGGGTTTTTTTTACTTTCACTTTTTTTTGAGGGGTGGGGAGGGGGTAGAGAGCAGAGACAGCTCCTGCACACACTTTGTATGCAAAACTCCATACCAGAGTCTATTTCTTAAATAACTCAATACATTTCAACAAACCTGATATTTCTGGCTTGCGCAATTAGGTAGATGATTGTACCTTTCACAAAAATAGAGTATACAAAACAATAATTGGGTTTTGAAAGGAAGACAGTAAATTTTGGCTAAGTGGAATCTGAGATACTCCTGGAGCTTTTCCTGGTAGTCAGAAGGATATGGGGTCCAAGCTCAAAAGGGAAGAGAGGCTGAAAATAGGGCTTTGCAAATAGGCTATTCAGAGGTAGTCCTTGGAGGGTGGCAGCAGAACTGCACTGCCCAAGGACAGTATAGGAGGTAAGGAGAGGACAGAGGGTGGAGCCAGGAGGACAGCCATAGGGAAAGTGGGGAAGAGAAGAGATCAAGCAGGACCAGTTGGATGGCACCTTCCAGCCACATGAGACCCTTATGATTGCTGGTTGGCCAACTGGCTAATCTGAGAAATAAAGATACCCTTGAAGATAACACTGTACCAATTCAGAAATGCAAATGAAGGCAGCTATTAGCTTGGATGTTGCTGAATAAAACTTTAATTAACTTCAGTTCAAAGTACTTACTCCAAGACTTATGAAATATTTCTGACTCTCCAGATAAGAAGAAAAACCAAAAGGAGAGGGCAATAAACACATAGACAATTGCCATCTAACAGTCAGAGTCAGAAGAGGTCATTTGTAGTTTAACTGTGTTTCTGTGTTCTGAGTACAGATGGGAGGACCCTGTTTAACCCATTATGGAGACAGATTTACTCATATATCCTCAACCTAAAATTCTAAAAAATGGTGTTATGATAACCTAAAACAAATGAAAGGAAATAAATTGCTCAGAAGGCAGCTAGCTATTCCTGCCTGAGACAGTGACCTGCTGCCACAGGTACTAGACTCTGACTGGTCTTAACTACCTAAAGACCAGTACCTCCATCAGGACAGAGTAGAACCACTAACCAGGAATAACGTGTCGAGAACCACAGAAGGGTCACCAGGAGAGAAGAGCACTGATGATCTGATGGTGATCTATTAAGTAACCACTATCCACTGAGAGCAAGGCAGCTGGCTACATACTATAATCCCTCCACCCTGCCCTCAAAGAGCTTATAGTCTAATGAGGTGAGCATTGTCAGGGTTCTGAGGAATGAGAGGCCACATCAGAGGATTCAGATAGGCAAAAAAATGGGGACCTTGAGATGGCCAGAATTACATGAGAAAAAGGAAAAAGAGAAAAGTGTAGGCTGTCTGACCAGCACCTGCAGACCAGTTTCACTGCAGTGGCAAATGCAGAAGGCGGCCAGCCCGAAAGAAAGGTTTAGAAACTCCATTTCAGGCCTGTCCTGTCTGGCTCAGTTGGTGGGTCGTTGTCCTGCAAAACAAAAGGTTGTCAGTTCAATTCCCAGTCAGGACACGTCTGAGTTTCAGGCCAGGTCCCGCAGCTGCGGGGCATGCAAGAGGCAACCCATCAATATTTCTCTCACACATCAATGTTTCTCTCCCTCTCTTTTTCTCTCCTTTCCCCTCTCTCTAAAAATAAATAAATAAATATATTTTTAAAAAGAACTCCATTTTCCAGTAGCCTTTAGGTGCAAATGTCTGTGTGTTTATTGATCTTTGCTTTGGTTTTTCTTCTTATCTGGAAACACACAACCATTTAATTGGCTCTGTAACAGTTATATCTATATCTAAAACTGTAAGATTGGGAAAATGTAGTCCTAAAATAACAGTAGAATCCTTGTACAAAGCAGGCAGGTACCAAAGAAATGACTGGCAGTAAAATTTGCCACAGGCAGGTCCAGAGCTTTATCGCTGACTCATAGCCAGTGAGATAAACAATATTTATTTCTGGCTTCATCAGAATCCGAGACATTTCGGTTAAGTTATTTTAATTTTTTTTCTGCATGTGTGTAAAGTGAAAACATTTCTTTATTTTTAAATATTTTTTATTTTAATTATATTTTACAGATCATGCTATTACAATTCTCCCAATTTTTCCCCACTCTACCTAGCACCCCCACTCCCTTAGGCATTGTTCCCCCCACCATTGTTCATGTCCATGGGTCATGTGTATAATAAGTTCTTTGGCTACTCCATTTCCTATACTGTACTTTACATCCCCATGGCTATTCTATAACTACCTATTTGTACTTCTTAATCCCCTCACCTCTTCACCCATTCCCCCACACTCCCCTCCCATCTGGAAACCATCACAATGCTCTTCATATCCATGATTCTGTCTCTGTTCCTCTTGTTTCCTTAGTTTGTTTTTTATTTTTATTTTTCTTAAAGATTTTATTTATTTATTTTGAGAGAGGAAGGGAGGGAGAAAGAAAGGGAGAGAAACATCAATGTGTGATTGCCTCTTACATACTCCTGACTTGGGACCTGGCCTACAACCCAGCCATGTGCCCTGACAGGGAATTGAACCGGTGACCCATTGGTTCACAGGCTGGCACTCAATCTACTAAACCACACCTTCCAGGGCTAGTTTGTCTTTTAGATTCAATTGTTGATAGATATGTATTTTTGCCACTTTATTGTTCATAGTCCTCTTTTTCTTAATTAAGTCCCTTTAACATTTCATATAATAATGGTTTGGTGATTAACAACTTTAGTTTTTTCTTGTCTGGGAAGCTTTTTATCTCCCTTTCGATTCTAATTGATAGCTTTGCTGGGTACAGCAATCTTGACTGTAGGCCCCTGCTTTTCATGACTTTGAATATTTCTTGCCAATCTCTCGTAGCCTGCAAAGTTTCTTTTGAGAAATCAGCTGACAGTCTTATGGGAACTCCCCAGTAAGTAACTAACTGCTTTTCTCTTGCTGCTTTTAAGATTCTCTCTTTATCATTAACCTTTGGCATTTTAATTATGATGTATCTTGGAGTGGGCTTCTTTACATCAATCTTGTTTTGAGACTCTCTGTGCTTCCTGGACTTACATATCTATTTCCTTCACCAAATTAGGGAAGTTTTCTTTCACTCTTCTTTCAAATCGATTTCCAATGTCTTGCTCTTTCTCTTTTCCTTCTGGCAACCCTATGACATGAATGTTGGACCCCTTGAAGTTGTCCCAGGGGCTACTTATACCATCCTCATTGTTTTGAATTATTTTTTCTTCTTGTTGCTCTAATTGGCTGTCTTTTGCTTCCTTATGTCCCAAATCATTGATTTGTTTCTTAGCTTCATCCACTCTACTGTTGTTTCCCTGTAAATTTTTCTTTATTTCAACTAGTGAAGCCTTTGTTTCTGATTGGATCTTTTTTATTTTGCTGATGTCCTCACTAAGTTCCCTGAGCATCCTTATAACCAGTATTTTGAACTCTGCATCTGATAGCTTGCTTATCTCTATTTTGTTTAGCTCTTTTTCTGGAGTTTTGATCTATTCTTTAATTTGGGCTATGTTTCTTTGTCTCCTCTTTTTGGAAGCCTCTCTGTGTTTGTTTCTATGTATTAGGTAGAACTGCTTCAACTCCATGTCTTGGTAGTGTGGTCTAATGTAGTAGGTATCCAATAAGGTCTAGCGGCAAAGCCTTCCCTAACATGTACCCATGTATCATGTATCAAGTACCCAAGCTGGGTGCTCGAGGTGCACCCTTCGAGGGCGGGTACCCTCTTCTTGTGGTTGAGCCTTGCTTGCTGTTGGCAGGTCAATGGGAGGAATTTTCCCAGGCCAGTCAGGTGCAAGGACTAACTATGACCACTGACCACCAACCTCTGTCTTCTGTGGAGGATCAGATGTGCAAGGGCGGGGTGGTGTTGTTCTGATGTGGTCTGTAGCTGCCCACTGAATACATAGGCTCTGGGGTTTCCTGGGTGGTGCAGGGCAAGGTCAGCCCCCACCTGTGTTTTACCCCAGGCCACCGTGTCTAAGCTATGAAGCAATCTGAGATAGCTGCTACTTGTGCTGGGATTGGAGCTTCCCAGGCAAAGCCAAGCTGTTAATCTAGGCTGCCTACTGCTAGTGCTGGGCCTGGAGTTCACTGAGGCCAGCTGTTGCTTGTTTGAGAGGATTTAGGAAGTTGCGAAGCATGAACTAAGACCAGTCATTCACATAGAAAAGCAGCTTAGGTAGACATGTAAGTTGCCTGGGACAGAGTCTCTGGGGATCCCCAAGTTTATCTCCCATCAGAGTTAGCCAGGTTGATGGAGTCTCAGATATGGCAGCAGCCTACTGGCTCTGTGGGGGGAGGGTTTAGGAAAGGGACTATGGCCCCTATTTGCCTTGATGCCAGCCACTTCAGTTCCTCCCTGTATGTCACTGCTGCCTTTCAAGCTGCTACCCCAGTGAAGAAGCTCAGAGGGGGTAAGTCTGAGCAGGTGAATCTATATGTAGGTTTTTTAAGAGGAATTCCTTGGGCCTCTAGAAGTTTCTTCCACCAACTCAATCCCCACTGGTTTTTGCAACCAGAAGTTGTGGGAACTTATCTTTCTGGCATGGGAGTCTTGGGCTGGGGGCCCTGGTATGGGGCTGGCACTCCTCACTCCTGAGTTATCCCTCCTAAATTTTTATCCACTACACATGGATGTGGGACCAGCCCATTCCACATCTTCACCCTTCCAACCAGTCTGGATGGACATGGTTTCTTAATTGCATAGTTCTCAGGTTTCTATTCAACTCGATTTCTGACAGTTCTGAGTGACAGTTGTTCTATATTTTAGTTGTAATTTTGGTGTGGTTGTGGGAGGAGGTGAGCCATGTCTGCTTACGCCGCCATCCTATCTGGAAATCCTCAAAAGCATTTCTTGAACATATCATACTCATGGGGCCACTGTGACAATGAATAAAAGCCCTTGCTGATTTAAGTTCTATGCCACAGTGACACACAGTTACCAGCAGGGAGCAGACACTTAGCTGTCTGCTACCATTGCTGCCAGCTATGGAAGGGTCTGCCCAAAGCACCAAAGGAAGTGGGGGGCAGTGAGGGGAGGGGAATATCATTACTTATGCATGCCTCTTCCTGGCCATAGTAGATGAGGCAATTTACATGACACATAACACAAAGTAAAAAAATATATAAATGACAAATAAGGTCCAGAGGAAAACTTAAATCAGAAAAGAAGATTAAATTGAGAAATGTATTAGAATTCTGATCTGCAAATAAGATTCTTTTCAGCTTTAAAAAAAAGGCTACAGATTTGGCTCAGAGCTTCTTACATCCAGAAGAAAAGAGAGGACACATTCAATCACCTAATTCATATTAAGAAAACCTGCCAGTTATTCAGGGAAGACAAAGGCTTCTGATAGCTGGTTTAAAAGAAATATCTGGTCAGTTACAATACCAAGTTAAAACAGTAAGATTCAAACCAGGGCTGTGTTTAGAGTAGCCTCTGATGACATCTATGATTGTGATATCAAAGTTTTATTCAAAGTCAACTCCCAGAAGGAATGCCCAAGAACACAAAGACAAAATCTAGAATTCCAACAAAGGACCCATCCTTAAAACAATCCTGTTATCTGCACTCAAAACAAACAGTAACAATAAACAAAAACCAAAAATCCCATGTGATTGTAATTTCCCACTACAGATATTTAGAAAGAACTGGGCATTAGGAAGTTATCTATGTCAGGGGTCCAACATACCTATAGTCTGTGCTGTACATGGTGAAAAGTCACTAATACACAATAAGTGAACAGATGGTTTGACATGCTTCTGAAAATACCAAGGTGACCAACCATGATGTGCCGCCTTCTTCAAAGCAGAGGTGGCTCAGAGAGCAGAATGCAAAAGCTCCAGATAATAAAATTAAGATCCAAAGATCAAGTTCCCCAAAAGAAAAAGTCCTGTGGGCCTTGGCTAGTGTAGCTCAGTGTATTGAGCGCAGGCCTGTGAACCAAAGCATCACTGGTTTGATTCCCAGTCAGGGCACATGCCTGGGTTGCAGGCCATATCCCCAGTATGGGGTGTGCTAGAGGCAACCATACATTGATGTTTCACTCCCTCTCTTTCTCCCTCCCTTCCCCATCTCTCTAAAATAAAGAAAATCTTTAAAAAATATATTTTAAAAATCCTGTGATTCTCTTCCAGGGCCCTCCCCTGCCCTGTGGCCCCACCACACCTGCCCTCATTCAGGCTTTTTCTCCTTCCCCTTCCCTGACACATTACCAAGTGCTTACAGTTAAACTTACAAACGTTAGGTAGGAACTGATATAACTCCATTGCAGCTGTCTCCCTATACCAACACACAACAGGGAGCTCTTTGAGGGCAGGCACCAGGCCCATTCAAATTGGTCTCATGGCCCCAAGCACAGGGAGCAGCACAGACATGTGCATAGTAAAGGTCGGGCCAGGGGAAGCTGACAGGTAAATGTGCACACACATAAGTGAGTATATCATTTCATCTGCAGAGAATTTTCTTGGTCACTATTTCCCTTTGGTTGTGCTTAAATAGGAGCTGGTATAAAATAAGGTCAGAAAGCAGATCTGCATCTCCTGGGGGGCACAAGAAAATGGGGAATGAAGATAGAAATGGTGGTACCCAGCACTGCCCACAGTGGCTCTGAGAGGAGAAACTTGTCCTGGGTGTTCTGGCTCCTGGGCAGACTACTCAGTGGACAGTCCTCCCCACCCATCCTCCCCCAGGACTTTGGAAAGATGCCACCCTCTGGAAAGAGATGTCACATTCACACAACAAAGGCCTAAAAGTTGAATTAAGGGGCATGCTTTTGTTTCCCCTAGAAGGGGAAGCAAGGAATTCCAGTAAGATACTTCAAATCACACAGTAGGGGACAGCCTGAAAAAGTTCCACTGTGTGGATGCTGCAGGTGAGGCAGGCCATGGTTTGCAGTGCCTGGGTTATTTTTCCTCTTTTGTTTTTCCCTTTTGTCTTTGGGGTCCTCTGTCAAGGCTGTCATGGGGCTTTTTCCTAAAAGGAAAAACCTAATTTCTCTAATTCCTGTTTTGAACTTTAAGTGCTATGCCATGTGCCATTGTCCCTATTTCTCCCATACCTAAGATATTCTGGACACACCATCCCACACAGCCTGATGACAAAAGGGCAGGCTTCTCCAGCTCAGCAGCCCACGGGCAGAGCCACCTTACCTGTAGCCAGTGCTGTTCCTACCCACCACCAGATGCTTGGGCTGATCTTCACACTTGTAAAGGTTCAAGTCATTCTCGGGCACCAGGTCCACATCATGGAATATAAAGCAGTCCCAATTTTCATCGTTGAGAGCTTCTAGATAGCCCACATTCAAGAGTTTGGCACGATTAAACTTTTTAGCGCCAGCCTATAGACAGGGAAATTAAAAGTTGAAAAGCTCCTGAGACAAGGTTTCACACTGTGCCCCCTTCAGTTCAGATGCAGGAACTGGTATTAATTAACTCCTGCTACACACAACTGTATTTGTGACATGCAAATCTGACAGTAGATGCAATAACAATAAAAGACAGTTTGTTTCTTTACGTTCCACACATACTCAAATCCCATAACTTAAAAACATACCTTGAAATGGAGAGTTGTTGTTTAATGGGTATAGATTTTCAGTTTTGCAAGATGAAAAAGTTCTAGAGACTGGATGTAGAATAATGTGAATATACTTAACACTTACTGAACTGTACACTTAAAAATAGTTAAGGTGGTAGCCCTGGCAGGTGTGGCTCAGTGGATTGAGTGTCAGCCTGTGAACCAAAGGGTCGCTGGTTCAATTCCTAGTCAGGGCACATGCCTGGGTTGAGGGCCAGGTCCCAAGTGGGGAGTATACAAGAGGCACCCACACATTGATGTTTCTCTCCCTTTCTTTCTCCCTCCCTTTAAAATAAATAAATAAATAAAATATTTTTAAAATATTTTTAAACAGTTAAGGTTATCAGTTTTATGTTATGCATGATTTATCAAAATTTTTTAAAAACCCATAATTTAAAAATACAAATAAAAATAACTCAAAAAATTTTAAAAACATACCTTTATATTTTCCATTGAAAACTACAAAACCTTTCTTACACACTCTTCATACTGACAAGTATGACTGCTTCACTGTTCGACTCTCAGTTCATCCCAATTTTGTCCTATGTAACCAATTTATACTAAGCTTCCAATAAACAGAGCTTGCCAGAGAGGATCAAGAATTTTTGACCTACAAACAAAGCAGGTCATTACTATTACTTCTAAGCTACTTAAAAGTCTCTTGGAATCATCATAAAAGAATCCCGTTTTAATACTTAATGGCAGAAGCTAATCCTCACAATGACCTCACTGAGGGGATCCATCACTGCATAAAAAAGGAACACATTTCGACCAGTAATAAGACCAGAGGTATGGTGCCCTGGCTGGTGTGGCTCAATGGACTGAGTGCCAGCCTGCTAACCAAGGGTCACTGGTTCAATTCCCAGTCAGGGTACATGCCTGGGTTGTAGGCCAGGCTCCCAGTCCGGGGTGCACAAGAGGCAACCATGCATTGATGTTTCTCTCCCTCTCTTTCTCCCTCCCTTCCCCTCTCTCTAAAAATAATTACATAAAATTTAAAAAATTAAAAAAAAAAAAAGACCAGGGCTATGGTATGGAAAAGATTTTACAGTATTAATTTTTTCATGGCTGTTTGGATCAAATACCTTCAGAATAAATTCCAGTTTGATAAATAGTTCATCATAACAAAAATATAGGCAATTCTCTCAAAAGTTACCACAGTACTTTCCTAAAAAGATCAACACAAAGCAGACATATTTTTCTATTGATAAAAACAGTGTACACTGGGAGTGGCTATCCTAAGAAAGACCTCGCTCAGAATGACTTACAATGTTAAGAACAAAAATAATTATAAAACAATATAGTAACAGTAAAATTTTGTTTCAAATACAAAATAATAGATATAGATATATATGCACACTAATTTTGAAGAACCCCAGTTTATTATAAAGTATACACTGAAGAGCTATATCCTCTGATCTGTCAAAAGTTTTCATAAAACAAATATTACTGCTTATAACCAATAATAAGGATGAAATTAATGATTTTCTTGCACTTTTAGCATTTGTAGGGATTTGTAAGGAATTACCCTTTTCAGGGCAATTCTGAAAAGCTAGACATGGACATTTAAGTTGATGCCTTATTTTTTCTTTCAATAAACATTAATACCAAATAAAGGCATCTGTGATCGGCCATTCCACTTAGAGCTAAACTCTTCAAAAGCAGCGTACACTTATATTTACTGCATTTCCTATGAAATCATGCTTCTGGAAGCCAAATAAGCAAATCAAGAAAGTGAAAACAAAGAGAGAGAGAGAGAAAAGAAATGGAGGATAAATAAATAAATAAATAAATAAATAAACCACAGCCCCCTAAAAAGTGAAAACTGAGCACACTTTACATAGTAAATAGTGGCAAAGTTAAAGGCAGAACAGTGGACATGGGTCACCGTTGAGCTCCATGGCTAGTGACAGACAGCAGTCTGTCAAATCCTCTGTCTAGATCCCCAGTGAGGAACCACGCTCGAAAATGCAAAACAATGTCAACATCTCATGTGTAGTGTATGGCAAATGCAGAGGGAAACATAAGGTAAATCTTGGGGGAAAATCACAGGGCAGTCACAGGCTGACAACAAAACAGGCTTCCTCCAGAGGTTTTCAAGAGGCAGTAAAATTTCCCAGCACTAAGTCCCATTACTCCCCACTCTGAGACTTGAATTTCCCTTACTCATTTCGAGGATGAACAAGGTAAAAGACCTCTCCTTTGACAATAGTTTGACATTTTTTTTTACCAAGAAAGACAAATAGTCAAGTCCATCAGAGAGAGGAAAATCTGAGGCAGAGCCCTGGTCTGCCCCACACTCACCTGGTGGATGACATAGATGCCATATTCCAGCTGCTGCCTCTGCAGAAAGGGGTGAAGGTGTTTTAGCAGGTACATCAGGTGTCTCTCTCTGTTCCGGTGTGGAATGAGGATAGCAACCCGCTGTGAAGCCTTGCATTCCTCAGGGTGATACCGGCCTCTGTGCACTTTGGGATTTTCTGCCTGCACGTCTTCCAGAGTAAGATCTGGTTTGAAAATGAGCTTGTCCTGGCCTCCTACAATTAAAACAGGGCAGAGGAAACAACAGTAGCTATCTCATCAAGTGGTAAGAGGCTTACATGAGCTAGTACACGTAAAGCACTTAGAACATTGCCTGGGACCCGCAATATGTGTCAGCTTTTATTATTACTACTTTAAAGCCTTGTTGGGTCATAAACTATAATCACAGAACCACATGACCCAGGTTATTGTCTACAAAAGCAATAAAATTACATATAAAAGCATCTCCTTGTTGGCCAACATTCCCTGGGTAGCCAACTCTGGCTCTGTGATTCATCCATAAATTAGAAATACATTCTGTCCCACTTTCAGCTTTCGGCTCAGAGGAGGTGATGGTGCAACTTTCTTCGGTCATCCCAAATCTGGGTTCATCCCACCATCAGGCACCTCCAACCAAGCTGCCGGAGTTCAACCCCAACAAGATCAAAGTCATACACCTGAGGCGCACCAGTGGGGGAGTCGATGCCATGTCTGCCCTGGTCCCCAAGATCGGCCCCCTGAGCCTGTCTCCAAAAGAGGTTGGTGATGACATCGCCAAAGCAAGCAGTGATGGCAAGGGTCTGAGGATGCCAGTGAAGCTGACCATTCAGAAGACACAGGCCCAGACTGAGGTAGCACCTTCTGCCTCTGCCCTGATCATCAAAGCCCTCAAAGCACCACCACCACAAGACAGAAAGAAACAAGAAAATATTAAAATATTAAGCGCAGTGGAAATATCACTTTTGATGAGATTGTCAACATTGCCTGACATTTGCAGCACTGGTCTTCAGCTAGAGAACTCTCTGGAACCATTAAAGAGATCCTGGGGACTGCCCCAGTCTGTGGGCTGCAATGTTGACGCCCACCAACCTCATGACAACATAGATGACATCAACAGTGGTGCAGGGAAATAGCCAGCTACTTAAGAATTGCAAAGGAAAATATTTCAATTAAAGATCATTTGACAACCAAAAAAGAAAAAAAAAAAGAAATGCATTCTGTCCCGATGACCCCGGTGAAAAGCAGAGGTCAGGACTAAACTAACTTTAAATGTTCTCTATCCATTGTTTCTGTCTTAAAATTCCAAAGGAAGGTGAAGCCTCTTAAAAATATCAAGAGCATTCCACCCTGGCTGGTGTGGCTCATTGGACTGAGCGCTGGCCTGTGAACTGAAAGGCTGCCGGCTCAATTCCCAGTCAGGGCACATGCCTGGGTTGCAGGCCAGGTCCCCAGTTGAGGGCCTTCTGAGAAGCAACCAATATCTCTCACACACTGATGTTTATCTCTTCTCTTCCTCTTTTTCTCCCCACTCTCCCCTCTCTAAAAGTAAATAAATAAAATCTTTTTAAAAAATCAAGAGCATAGCTATCCACTAGAAACTAGCCTCACTCCCTAACCCAGCAGTAACAGGAACAGGCATGTGCAACACGGCCAGAAGTGTCCACTGTGCCATGGTAGCAGCAGACATTTGCTCTGCAAGTCTGGATGCAGCCTGGCAAAACCCAAGAGCCGTCCATGGTAACCAAACTCATGTAAGGCTTTAAGGACCAGCTGAAGCCACTGACCTTTCTCTTGGATCTGAATTAACAGAGAATACTGACTAATAAGAAAGGTGGCAGAGCTCAGTTAGGGAACTGAGCCACACTTTGTGAAAAATCCATAGACAATGGTCAGGCTGTAAAATCTCAAATTGTTTGCAAGTGGTGCTATCCTCTTCTGAGCAAATCAATTGCAGGCTCAGAAGCAAATGTATGTCATGGTACCTTGCTTCAGGTGACCATCACCTACCATGGCTGTGGCTGCGGAGACCAGGCTCTATTGTCCATGAAATAAAGGACTCTGCCAAAAAGCACCAAGGAAAATAACTGTTTACAGCCACCTAGAGAAAGTAACTGGCTTACAAGAAAAGAGCCTTTCCTTAGGGTTCTGCATGTGAGGCATAGTGATGGTAAGGCAGCAATGCCCTAAAAACAAACACCAAGAAGCGGAATAATGTGAAAAGCAATCTATTAGAGCTGCTGCCGAGCCACAGAACTGCTGGGAGAGGATGGTGATGTGGCTGTTGAGGTGGTTTCCCATGCAGCTTGTTAATAAGCCCCATCATCCAAGTTAACTGTCTATGTCTCTGTTCTCAGCCCCTGGAAGAGCCCTAGGCAACAGCCTGATAGAAACCAGTCCCTTCACCCACTTTATCACTGTCATGACTTTTCACGGCCCTAACCTCCCAGAACCTGTTTCCACGTACTCTACCTGTCTCCCTACTGTTGGGAACTGCCCTGCCTGGTTTCAGAAGCTGTAACCTGCCCTCCCCCCCGCCATGGCTAAGGCTGAGTGAGAGACCTTGAGACTCTAAGCCACTAAGGAGACAAAGCTTGTCTCCCTGGCAGGGGTGCCACCTCTGCCCCCTTTACTTCACCCTGCTTGGCCCTGAGTCTGACCAGTCAGCCAATGATGGGTAAGATTCCTCAAAGGAGGGATGACCTAAGACAGGCATGGTCACCAGGGGTTCCTCAGGGAAGGACTTGGCGGGCTATAGAAAGAGGGGGTGATGGACTCTCACCCATTGCCTTTGACATAGCCTGAGTCCTCATTCTGTGTGCAAGTGTCCTAATCTGTTGGCTGCATTAATTCCCCTGCCTGACTTAAGCCTCAATCAATGCCAGAGGTGGGTACAACCCTGTGCTGGAAAGGGCAGGTTCCCTGGGACAATAAAGCCTAAGAAAGAATGCATAAAATCGTGTGAAACCTGCTTTGCTAATATCCTCAATTTAAATGATAAGGGTCCAAACATGAAGTGAATTTGTTCCCCAAAGTTTTATGGCCCTTTAACTATCTGACCCTAATTCACAATAAACCCTCATAGTTGTTTGAATGTTATCTATTTTTAAATCATTTCTGCCTGACAATGATTGATGAGCTTTACGTATATACCCTGTATTCCTATGCAAATTAAACCCAATAAAAGCCCATTGAGGAATAGGTTCCTGGCCCTTCTCCTTTGAGAGTTTGGCCACCTTTTCTCCCCAAGCAGACCATGTCTTGGTAGATTTATTCTCATCCGTGGTGGATAGGGCGCGGGTGGGGGAGGGAACCCTGTGGGCGGAGGCCCCCAACACCCTACCAATACCCTCATGACGTCCTCTCAAGTATTGTCCCTTCTGGCCCCTCTTCATCCACTACTAACTATATCACCCTCTTAATCCAGGTGCTTGCTCAATTTGTATCACTGCCCATCTATTTTTATAAATGCAGCTATTACTTCAGTGAGTTGTAAGGATTTTGAACAAGGAAGGTAACAGTCAGATTTACGTTTCAATAACTCATTTTCCTATCTCAACCTGTGTAATTTGTGAGCAGAATAATTCCCTCACACAATCAGGAATAGTGTGTTGTCTTTCCCATGACCAGGTAAAGAGGAGCAGCATGCCAATGTAAACACAATGGAAGACTGGGATTCAGTTAGGGAAGCAGGTCTGCAGGTTTCTGTTAAGAGCAAAAAGCCTCCAACGGCCCCAGGCTACCCCACAAAGAGTTAATTTAGTGTGCAGAGAGCCACTTCTGTAGGACAAATGAGGGGCACTGGGCTTTGCAGACTGGAAAGGCTCACCCTGCCTTCGTCCTGCCTGCACGCTGTGCCCTGGGGAAGAAAGGCAAACGCACGAACAACACACTGTGGTCAACACAACAGAAACAGGCAGACACACAGGGAGCGTGAGATTAACTCTGGGGCAGTCCCTGGAGCCTTTCGGGGAGAGAAGTTATCTAAGGCATATTATTGACGAATAAACAGAAGTCTGCCAGGCGGACATGAACTGAGGAAAGGCATTCTGGAAAAGGAGAATGATGTCCAGGTTCAGAGGAGTGTCTGGCAAACTACTAGCACTTTAATGTTCTGAAGAACCAAAGGTGTGATATATAATATCGCGGTGGAGTTTTTCTAATTAACATGTTCACTAAAACCAATTTACTGTTCACTGAACTTGAAAGACAAGACATCAAAGGGGAATATAACATACAAGATATTTAAGAAATAAACACTAAACACAACATTGAAGGACAGGCATAGTCGTGTCCCTCAACTGCAAGCTTTTGGCCAAGGGGATGCTAACAGACGGTGTTGCAGAACAGGGCCAAGGGGGGGTACAATATACTATTACCGATAGGACCCCCCACTAGGTTCATTATGTCCGCCGCCAGAGGAAAGAGGCCTCTCAACGCCAGAGATTGGTGAAAAGGAAAGGAAATATTTATTTAAAGCTATACAGACTTAGAGTAGTGACCTAATGTCTTCATTAAAATATTAAAGTCCTTTAGGATACCCATAAACACACACAGTCCTTCCTTCTCCCTCTGCCCAGTCTGGGGTACCATATCTCAGAAAAAGAAGTAGAAGCCCATGATTCAGGCTCCCGGCACCATCAGCTGTGTCGCTGCCACGATCTCCAGTTAATCCAAAGCTATGTGGCACCTTCTCATGGCCCACCAACAAGAGTCCTTTCACCCCTTTTCTTCCAGGCAAAGTCCCTCCTGCTGCCTAAGTCACATGGCAAAAAGGAGCATCCCAAAGCCACGTGGTCCTCACTCTCACCAAAGCTTCAGGGGTCCCCACTCTGCCAAAGCAGCATGGTTCTCTCCTCGCATGGCTGCCAACTCTGGATTTAAATCCCCGTGCCAATCTGCCTTTGCACCCCCACATTTCTGACTCCTCCTACAATCAGCTACACCTGCCAGCATTCCTGTATTCTTCCAGGTTTTCTGGGCTACCATAATGAGTCTGGGCAGGTGTGGCCCCATGTCATGGAGCCAATCATCTCCAAGCTCTCACACAAGTGCTGTAACCAGGGGGAGCTGCCTCCCAATTACATCCCAGGTGGAAGTCACTTCCACCCCCCTGGCTCAAAGCATGGCCACAGCTATTTAACATATCTGTGCAACCAGTTAAAGGTTATAGATATGTTAAATGACCACACCAGAGGTTAGCAGCAAAGCTGTTGCTATGTAAAACAGCTCTCAATGGCCCTGCTCCTTGAGTCCCTTCACCCAACTCATTTGTGGGGGAGAGGGGTGAGGACATCCTATATATCTTTCTAATATTTCCTGGACACCTTGAGTTCTGGACCCCATTCCAAATCCCTATTTGGGCGCCCCTCTTGACACCCTGTTACAATGGGACACAAGTGGAGGCTTAAATGTGCTGTGTTTCTCCACTTGTGGTCCGCAGGCGGCAGGACAGAAACAAGCCCAGGTTAGCCCATGGGTCCCAGGAGAAGGAAGACACACAGAGCAGGGCCACCAGCCAAGGCCACCTGACCCTGAGCTCATCCCACAGACAGGTGAGCTAAACCATGCCCACTGGTGTATGCTGCTAAGACTTTTGTGGCTGGATAATAAAACTGGCTATGTTCATATGGTGGACACTCTACATCGGCAGCAGGGACACAGCTCACAAACATAACACTGAACAATGGAAGTCAGACACAAAAGAGTGTACAATATATGTGTTTCCAAGTCTGCAAAGTTGAAAAACAGGGAAAATCTGTGGACGGTGTCAGAAACGTGAAATAAAGGTAGTAACTGAAAGAAGTATAGGAACTTCCAGGGTTCCAGGAACGTTCCATTTCTTAATTTACATACTGGCTGCACAGGTATGTTCGTTTTGTGAAACTAACCAAGCTGTACACTTCTGGGTTTTGTACTTTCCTGTACACGTATCCAATAAAGTTTATGTAGCACTTGTAAAAGAGGAAAAAAAATACTTACTGAGATATGGAGAGACCAAAGGGCAGTTGTCAAGGTCTGCTTTCTTCACAGACGCTGCATTCATCACAGTTTCTTTCTTCCCCAAAACCATGGCCTTTTTGAAATTAGCGATGAAATCCTTTGCTTTAGGAATCTCTTGAATAGCACCCACAAAATAGTTACTGGTGGCCCACCCAACCACTGTCAGGCATAAAGTAAAAAGCAGCAGTAATCGGAATTTGTAAGAAAGGTAGAAGGTCATGTGGAAGCCCATGTCTTTCATTTCGTGAGCAAGAGGAACCAGTCTGCCTCACCGCGGGCAGGAGGCTCCCAGTGCAAGTTTTCTGATCCGACTGCACCACTGATGACAATCAAAGATGCAGGCCTGCTTTTGCTCAGTGGTTCTGCTCCAACAGTCTCTAGAAGACAATCACAAGACAGGTTTCAAAAGAATATCCTATTCTGAAATAATTCACATTAGCACAAACAGAAAACCCATCCCTGTCAGAAACTGACTAACAGTAATAGGTGTTCTCCAAGCAGGGTTCAGAGATGAGAAACTCAGAGGTTTTAGAGGTAGCAGGTTCCAACCACATACACATTAAAGGAATCCTCCCTGGGCCATCACCCAGGCCGGCTGCCACTTGAGAGAAAAGCCACATCCAGATGTTGCACAGGGGGAGAAAGGAGAGACTGGCAATATCCCCTTAGTTCTGAGCTAGTCACAGCCTAAAACACAGCCTTACAGTCCTCCTTCTGGCATGCTTTAAGAGAAGGTTACAAGTGAAATCTTGTTATGGAAAATGAGACAAAACCTCTTCTCTGTGGGAGCTAGAAAAATGTGCTGCTCAACAGGGGATGAAAAAGCAAGGCTTTCACTAGGAGGCGCTGGCACCAGGCACATCCCAAAGGGTGGGGGAGGTGGGGGGACAAACATAAGAAAGTGCTGACACAGGAGGCCACTCACCTGTAAGAATATGAGGCAAAACTGTTTGAGGTCAGGGGTTCTGGCTCAGACAGAAACTACAGCTCTACCACATACTGGCCACGAAACCCGGTCTTTTCTATAAGATGGAGATAAATATAGTTCTACCCAGAGACGTTATTGTGGGACTGGCTGACCTAATGCACAGGTGGCAAATACAAGGCCCGTGGGCCAAATCCCGCCTGGCACCTTGTTTCTACCCAGCAGCAGCGCTGAGCTCTCGCTTAACTGTTAAGGAGCAGTTACATTTGTACAGTCCTAAAGTTACATTCGGCCCTCTGAAGGCAACTGGGAGGCTGATGTGGCCCCCGGTGAAAATGAGTTTGACACCCTTGAATTCTTAATATATTCATCCACTGAGTGTTAGCCCACCTCCTGATACACAGTAAGCACTGGTGGTGACCATCACTGTTGATACTGTTACAAGTTTTGACTTTAAGTAACTCTGTATTAGTGAGGGCCAATAGGTGGACACACTAGAGGTGGAGCTGCCAGGACCATGACTCTACTATACTATATTTCTCACTGTCACTTGATAAATTGCCATGCTGACTTCGTACTTCAGTATGACTCTGTCTCTGAGAGGTAGCTATGCTCTTAGTTACTGACAAAAACCCAGTTTCTGAGGCCACACAGATGAAGGCCCGCTCAGACCATGGCAAGTGCACTAAGGCGATGAAGGTGCCTTAGTGAGCAACAAAGCCCACACATCCTCTCTGCATTGCCCAAACCACATTTTTCCTCTAATTCTAAACATGTTACCAGAACAATGCAGAAAGGCTAAACCCAGAGCCCCGGTAACCTCTATAGCCAAACATACCCTCAATTAAATGAATAGAATGGAGATGAAAATATTTTCCATGCTAAGTGACAACATGGAAATGCTTATGATGAAAACTTAAGTAACAAAAAAAAGAGAAAATAAACTCTGTATGTGTTCATGATTACCACTAAAATAAGAAAACTCTAGGGAAAAAAATAGCCAAAAGCCAGCAATAATTGTTATCAGGAATATGGGACTGGCCAGGGGTATATTTTTCTCTTTTCTTTTCAGAATGCTGTATAACATACTTTGTTCTTTTGTAATAAAAAGTTTTTTATTAAAAAAAATGATATGTGAGAATATGGTAATCTACTATGAAAAAGAAAAGCAAAATCTTAGCAACTCTCAAGATGGCCTCATACTTACTGAAGAGTAGTATTTCAAAAATTTAGCTCTAGGTTGTTTGAAGGAAACCTAGAAAGCATTTCTCTTTAGACACAATGTAACAAAAGGAGGTTAAGTTCCTGTCAAGCCATAAGAGATATGACCCACGAAGCAAATATGGCTTGTCTTTAGTCTGGAAGGTACCCTAAGAAAGAACAGCTAAGAGCAATCTATTTGTGAATTCACTCTGTGCTATGCACTGGGGTTAAATCACTTGTATTACCTTATTTAATTCTCATCTCAACCTCATGAGGTAAGAATTATCAGTCTCCTTATTTTATAGAAGAGAAAATGAAGGTTTAGAAAGGTTAAAAACTTTGCCCGAGACCACGCAAGCAGCAGTGGTGAAGCTGGGGCCTGCACCCACGCGGTCAGCTCCCACCCCTGGGCCTCCACCACGCCCTTCACACGGACATTTCAACCTTTCTTTGGGGCCTGGGTGCACCCAATATAAACTCTTGGAACATACAGGGGTTTTTTGTTTTGGTTTGGTGTGGTCTGGCTTTGTTTTCAGCAGCATTCTACCTTTCTCCCATGTCCCCCAGGCCCTTTCCTTGGGTCTGTTTGTTCAAATGGCTTCCTGGAGTTCTCGTGCCTTCCCTCCAGGTAAGTCTGCAGGTTCCTGGGACCAATCAGACAACCTCCCTGGACTTAACTGCAAGAAGCTTAAATGCTAGGACTGGCAATAATTTTTTATTAAAATCTCAATCTTAGAAAATCTAGACTGAGCACAGTGGAGGGACAGCCCCCTGACAGGGAGACTCACCTGCCTGAAGGGACTTCTGATCACAGCACTGCAGTGGAAACGTACACGTCCCTACACACCTCCATCTGTCCCCCCAGCATTTTACAGAGGGCAGGAATGTGATTTAGAGAGATTTAAAAACCCACCCAAGTAATGAGCTTGGAATAATCATAGACCATGACTGCTGAACTGCAGCACAAGGAATTTATCCAAAGATAAGAAATTTGTTATAAAACTAAGGAGCCATTCTTAATGACTACTTAATAATTAGTCTTCATTGCTAACCCCACTTATTGAGACTTTGTGGGATCCAGTAAAAAATAATTGCCTCTTACTTTTCCCAGTCTTGGTGCTCTCCTCAAAACTGACTCTACAGGGAGCCGGTATGAAGGAAGCTCAAGTGTGAGGTGTCCTTGGCTCTGTGACTGAACATCTAAGGTGTGAACAATCTATAACACAACTGTCCTTGCAGAGAGATCTCCTGCCCAGCCTGCTTTTCAGCTAAGTGACTGAAGACAATCCCTTTAGGCATGTTTTCCCAGCTAGTTTAAAAAAAAAATCTTAAACCAGTTACCAAAAGAATTTAATGAAAACTGTACTTGAACAATTAAAAAATAAATAAATAAATAAATTAAATAATTAATAAAATTAAAAAGAATTGTGAGATTATATACACAAACACACCTGGTACATTCCGAGGAACACACTTATTGGAAGGAACAAATATCCTGAAGAAATATTTACTGACCATGATTATCGGTGTGATTCATGCTCAAAGTCTGCTGGAATGCTAATCGAGACAGCATTACCTCTGTGGTTACTAAAATACAGATGATTTTTATTTCCTATTTCTCTGTAATTTCCTATTTTTCTTTCAATAAGTGTATATTATTTTTATAATTAAAAAAATAAGAATTTTTAAGCAAAAGTTCTTTTTAGGTCAGATAACTCCTGGTTGGGGTTTGGGGGAAATGTTATCAGAACAGACTTATTTATAGTAACATTTATAAAACTGAGAGGCCCTGAACTCTCTCTGGAGAGAGTTTTCTTTTTCAATCATGGCTGTCTTGAAATAAAGGGAATCGTGGCCACAGAAAACAAACTCAGGTAACATAAAAGAAGTTACTTTAGGGCAATGTTACAGGGTGCAGCCAAGAGGGGGGACCCCAAGTGGGGATTTGGGATGGGGTCCAGGATTTAAGATGTCCAGGAGATTTTAAGATGTCTCTATCCCCCCACCCAGGGTGTGGGTTGGGGGAAGGGACAAATGGAGCAGGGCCATTGAGAGCTGTTTTGCATAGCAACAGCCTTGCAGCTACCCTCTGGTGTGGTCATTTAACATATCTATAGCCTTTGGCTGGTTGCATGGATATGTTAAATAGCTGTGATTATCTCTGAGCCAGGGGAATGGAAGTAACTTCCCCACCAAGATGTAACTGGAGGGGCAGGTCCCCCGAGTTACAGCGCCTGCATGGGAGCTTGGAGATGATTGACTCCAGGACATGGGGCCACGCCTGCCCAGACTCATGATGGCAGCCCAGTAAAGCTGGAAGGATATGAATTCTGGCATGTGAAGCCGAGTGTGGGAGGAGTCGGAAATGAGGCTGCAGAGGAAGATTGGCCGCGGGGATTTAAAACCCAGACTTGGCGGCCATTAGGAAAGAGAACCATGCTGCTTTAGGAAGGAGAGCCATGCACAGCCCTGAGGAGGTGAACCATTCGCAGCCCTGAGGAGGGAGAACCGTGCTGCTTTAGGAGAGAGAACCACGCGGCCTTGACAGAGTGGAGACTCCCGCAGCTTTAGAAGGGGAACCACCACCTGGTTTTAGCAGAGATCCCGGCGACGCAGCTGAGGGTGCCGGGAACCCAGGGAGGTCTCCCAGTCGAAATGGAGTATTAACTGGGAAGAACCAGAGGACTGCCTGAGCCATGGACTTCTATTTCCTTTCCTGAGATACGGTACTCTGGACTGGGCAAAGGGGGAAGGAAAGAAGGACTGTGTCTGCTTGTGGGTGTTTTAAGGGACTTTGGGATTTTTGATAAAGACATTAGGTCACTACTTGAAGTTTGTATAGCATTAAATAAACATTTCCTTTCCTTTTCACGAATCTCTGGCATTGAGAGACGTCTTTCCTAGGGCGGCGGACATAACGGACCCAGGGCCTTCTTTCAATAATAGTATATGGTCCCAGGCCCCCCTTGTCTGTTCTGTAACAGCAAGACTCGCCACCCTTTTCCTTTATAGAAGTTTACCCTAGAGTTAGTTCAAAATGATGTGTTCATAATTTTGTTTTTTCCTCCTCTCAACTCAACCAGTCTTTCCTGACCACTTGCTATTTTCAGGTGCACTGCTGGGCACCCAAAGGGAACTGAGGTACACTCCTTACACTCAGCGTTTATTTCACTCCTGTCTCAGACGGTAATGTCTGTGATTTGGGTTCGTATACGCTAGCCCAACTCGAAAGTGGGGAAATAAATGAAATAAGATTGGCAAAATATTCAGAAGTACTGAAGCTAGGTAATAGGTACCTGAGGGTTCATTTTCTTTTTCTATTTTTGTATATGCTCGAAACTTTTTATAATAATAAAAGAAATAAATCTGGTAAAGAAGACAAACTACAACAAAAGGTAAATCAGCATGAGTGCTAAATATCATTCATGGAGAATCTCCACACACACAAATTTTGCACCACCATGGGGGTGGGGCAGTGGGCAGGACACGAGGTGTCACCCTATAAATATTTACTAAGTACTTATCCACTGGGAAGAAAGGATATGGTCTCCATTCGGCTGCCACAGGTGCCAAAATAGCGTCCTGATGTTTCTAAATCCACCTGGTAATCCTGAAGACACCAGACATCTCAGAGTGGGCATGACGTGGCTCCAGGTCTTACTCCCTTGGGTTTCTCTGGGGCAGCACCAGTGGAAAAGCTGATAGTTTGCTACTCCTTTCACTCCTGAAGAGTTCCTGAGAGCTATTTCGCACACGTTGCCCTGCCGTCATCCTTGGGTCTCTGGTATTCATTCTCCCAATTACAGCTCTGTTATCTGGTTTCTGAGTAATCACTGCCCAGGCCCTAAAGAAGCAAGGGTTCCCTGAGTGGGGGGCAACAGTGGGATAAAACTGGTAGCCATTTATATGTACAAGTCATCATTTAAACTCAAAGACCAAGCTCCTAATGGGAAAAACTGGAAGCATTGAAGCAAGAAAATGATGGTGTAGATGAAAATCTGTAAAAAATCATATTCCTAACAGAGCAGGTCATGGTGGGCAGTCACACCTCAGGCCTGTAACGTCTGTAGTGAGAGGTTATTAAGTAAGTCCTGTCCATTGTTCTTGTGCATCTAGGTTAACACACCTGTGAAATGTCAGAAGCAATAACCACAAAGACCTAACCACCCTGAAGAAAGCACATAATCTTAATGTGTAATCCAATCCCTACCTTGCTTTCTCTCACCTTCGTGTAATCTTCGTTTCCTCCTTAATTTCAAATGCATAAAAGAAACTGCGCAATTGTTATTTTCCAAAGCATTTGAGATCTTGCTTCCTAGTACTTGTCAGTTTGGCTCAAATAAATTCTTACGAAAATTCTCTAGTTTGGATGTTTTTTATGTCGACAATGGCACTGTAAATATCCATGAATCCACAATAATAGAAATGATCAAATAAACATACTAATTCTTAGAGTTAACTTCCAGTTAATAAGGAAGCAGGAGATGAGAAAAATCACCATCAGGCAGACACCACTGTATTCACTGGTGCACACAAGATCCCCCAGTAGGCACTGAAGCCAGTGGGTGAAAATTTGAGGATAAACAGTTTGCATAGTCTCAAAGTTTCTCCCTCAGGATAATTATTGACTACAAAGGAAAAGACAGTTACCTTTATAGGGGAGAAACCTAGCAGATATCATCTTAACCAAGTGATCAGAGTTAATATCACCAGTAATAAGATCTATTAAATTTCATGAATCAGTGATAATACTCTAATTGGTACTCTTGTGCAAAACTTTATTCTACAATAACTAATTGGTACTCTTTAAGAGGGTCAAAATAATGAGAGAAAAAAAAAACTGAGGAACTATCTCAGACTGGAGCAGACTAAGGAGAAATAAGTAAATGCAATTAATAGGATCCTGGATAGACTATGGAAATAGAAAAAAAAAAAATCACTAGCTTCCTAGAAGGAAGGCTGGCGGCCAGAAGGGGTGTGAAGACCACATCCGCCTCCTTGCCTCCTAGCTCTGAGGCTGCCACGGGAGCGTGTGGGGGAGGGGTGCCCAGGATCACCACAGAGCCCTACTAGGCGATTGAGGACACTAGGATCAAGCTCATGATCTACTATTCCATGGGCCCTTCCTTCCATTTCTTGGTGCCTATCCTTTGCTGCTGATGCCATAATGGATGTATAGATGGCTTTCTGTCTTTCAACAGTTACTGAAGTACACGTTTGGGATTTTGTTGAGGAAAGCTGGATACAGTAAACAGAATCTTGGAAGCTGCTTGACTACTGTCTTTTCTCAGACTAGCCTTAAAGAGCATACCCCCAATTCATTCTGGATTGGTAGATCTGAAGTACAAAATATTTCTTTTTATTTATTTATTTATTTATTTATTTATTTATTTATTTATTTATTTATTTATTTTTAGGGAGAGGGGAAGGGAGGGTGAGAGGAAGGAAAACATCAATTTGCAGTTGTCTCTTGCATGCCCCTAGCTGGGGACCTGGCCCACAACCCAGGCATGGGCCCTGACCCAGAATTGAACCGGTAACCTTTCAGCTTGCAGTGCCCAACCCACTGAGCCACACCAATCAGGGCTGAAGTACAAAATATTTTCCAGATAAGTAATGGAACATCATCTATGATCATCTCCAGAAAAGAAGCTATCAGAAGGAAACTAACAAAAAAGAAAAAAACTTGTGTATGAAATATTTTGACCAATGGTCTAATTAGATCAAGTGGAATTTGTGGAGCACCTGTCTCCTGAATGTATCATTACCAGTATGGGCATATTAACTTGTACCAGGAGCCCACGTTGCATGAGGACTTCATTACCACTTTACCAGAACAAGGCTTAGATCGCGTAGCAGCAAACAGTCTTTCCTACCTGCATGCCGGGTGTCTGTGTGCAGCAGAGCTTGTATGTAAAGGAAGACAGCAAGTGATCTCTGAAAGAATGCTCTGGAAGAAGCTGATGGAATGAATGGTGCACACTGACCCCCTGTGGAAGGAACTTTCAGAAAGAAGAGGGTGGGATCATTACCTGCTTAAAAACAAACCCACAGATGGCTCTTGCAATTCATTTTACAAATTATATCCAAAGATTATGCAGGATATAGAGACTACAGATTCTAACTGATGATGTGGGTCACACAACTTGCAGAGGATTCAGTGCCACTCTGAAAACAGTAAAGGTGTCTACTGTTTGCACTATTATGATGAAAAATTATCAGTGGCCTATGAGATTATTCTATTAAGATGTGGGATAAAACCAGCTTGGAATGTTGGAAAGTGTTAACACTGGCTCCTTTGTCTCCAGGATGATGAATGTGTCATTGTGACTAGGGCTTCAGACTCCACAGTGGGAGTCTGGGAGATTAACATGGGTGAAGTTCTGAGCACGCTGGTCCACCAGATGAGACTGTACTGCACTTCTGCTTCAGCCAGGGACTGATGGCGGCCTGTTCCAAGGACCTCTCTATCACTGTGTGGGACATGGCTTCTGCCAAACTGTCACCACTTCACTCTGCATCCTGGTCAGCCACTGTGCTGCTGTCAGTGCAGCAGACTTCGATGATAAGGACATCATGCCTGCCTCTAGTGATGGAACCATCAAAGTCTGCAGCACGAGTACCTGTGAATTTGTTCATATTCTGAATAAGCACAAGTGAAGCCTTGCCTCTCTCCAGCTGGTTGTTAGTTGATCATCAGATAATACCATCACGCTATGGGATATTGAATGGTGCCTGTTTAAAGGTCCTAGAGGGACATGAAGAACTGGTCCAATGCATCTGCTTTGGTAAGAAGAGGATTGTCAGCAAGGCCTATGAGGAGAATATAACAGTTTGGGAGTGAAAAAGTTGCTCTCGACCCTCGAGCCTCAGCATTGTGTTTGTGCACCTTGGGGAAACATTCCAGACATGTGTTTTGGCTACAGCTTGATGAACTGCAAATCATTAGCAGCTCTCATGATAACACTATTTTGAGTTGGGATTTCTTAAATATGCCTCCCAGTGCCCAGAATGAGACCTGTTCTCCTCCAGAACATACACTTAGCATCTCCAGGTAACAGTTTGCACTTTATCCCTTACAGAATGTCCTAGTCTTGAACTACTGGCTACATGGCCACCAGCGCCTAAGGGGATTCTTCACAGGAAAGCAATGCGCTGGAATTGGTTCTAGATGCTGGGAAGATGCAAAACTGCCTAACTCTTCAAGTACTGGCATTTCTCACCTCCAATTTCATCCTCCACTTTGAGAATACCTTAGCTTCACTGACTTCAACTAGGACAGAAGCTGATTTCCTTCCCCCATCAGCGAAAAATACTGAATGCTTCAAATGTACATTGTTCATATAAAAGTATGTTCTCTGGAAATAAATCAACAATCAAAAGAAGACTGGGCCTATAATTTACATTGCTTTCCATTTTGGTCTGCTGTTAACAAAGAGCATTCTTCCTCAGTGAAATGCTGGGTGCCAGCCCCTACCCAAAATGTCCAGGTCTTTCCTTTTCAGAAGGTAACGTCCTCTTTTGATAGTCCACATCATTCTGAATTCTGACTTGTATTAGAAATACGTTAGACAATGGGAAAATTTCTCTGGATTGTTTTAGTATTTTTTTTTTTTGCATTACACTTCCTTTCTGTACCATTTCTTTGAACTTAAAGAACTCTAAGCCAGGTTATATTACCTCCAAGCAAGTAATATAGCTCTTTTCTTTTATTAACTGTTCTCTGTACCTCAACCATCTCCTGATATTTGGTAGAGTAACATCTTTACACACGTTTGCCTCCTAACTTAAATACTGTATCTGCATGTAGATATAATGTACACAATAGTTTAACCTCAAGAAGTCAAGCCCTACCCCTCCCCTATGCCCAAGACACTAGTAGAGTGTATTCACACTTAGTACTGGGCTGGGCTCAAGAACCTGATACCAGGGTGGATATGGAATGTCTAGAACCCTTCCTGCTGTATTCATATGGTGTTTTTACTTTGTCATCGTCATTGTGTTTGTGTGGTGTGTTTTTTATGGGAATCTTGTTTTAAAATGTAATTTTGAAAGTTTAACACAGTATGTTTTTTATCTATTGTTTAAAGGTTTTATTTATTTATTTTTAGACAGAGGGGAAGAGAGAGAGAGAGAGAAACATCTGTCGCTTGTCTCTCGCACATGCCCCAACCAGGGACTTGGCCCTGGTCCAGGCATGTGTCCTGACCAGAAATCAAACTGGCGACCTTTCACTTTGTGGGACGACACTCAACCAACTAAGCCATACCAGTGAGGGCCAGAATGTTTTATTTGTTGTGCAGTATATGCAAAGCAAGGTACCTTTTGTTGTTTTTTCCTCATAAGTACTCCTGAGTACTTACAAGTAGTCACTTCCCATAGTATTCATTTGACTTCACTGTCACAAACCATTATTCTGTGGGTTAGTAACCCTGCGGAGGGAAGAACAAGAAGGCCCTACTGACTGACTTTCCTGGCTCTAGACTTCATGCATCCTAGCCTTGTCAGGATGTTAGCAGGACTGCTTGTTATGTTGGAGCCCATATACCAGGTCTGGCTTGTTCAGAGGCCCATCTTGAGCGATGGGTATGCCTACATGGTACAAAGATTCAAGCTCATGAATCCCATCCCTGTCATCTCTGGTGTCACCTTATGATGTGGCCCGGGAAGGTCCTCAGAGTTCCAGAGTGCTCAGCAGACCGAATGTGTGAATGATCCATCATAGTGACCATGTGTGGAAAGGACTTTGGCATCTGGTTGGCACTTCTTTTTCCTTGTTCAATATTAAGTTTTGATTTGCCCCTTGACATTGTCTTCAAAGACCAAGGAATGTCAATAATATTTTAAAGGACCAATAAGAACTTCCTGTTAATGAAACCTCTCCCCAGGGAAGCACACTCTGCTACCAATAGGAAGGTCCCTAGTCTCTGTTTTGTCCTTTACACTGAGAACAGTGTGGGTATGTGATTCGTTCACTAGTTAGCTTTGCTTTTTCCTTTTAAAAGAAAATAAATTCCAACTGTTACTGAACAACAATAAAATAATTTAAATTAAAAAATAAATAAATATAAATAAAAATGATTATTCCCACAAGTTACTAAATAATTTCTGTTTTTAAGAAGTTGAGTCTAAATATATAAAAAAATAGTCCTGGCCAGACAGCTCAGTTGGTTAGAGTGCTTGTCCCAATACACCAAGGCTGCAGGTTTGATCCCCAGGGAGGGCACATACAGAAATCAACCAATGACAACAAATCGATGTCTCTCTCTCTCTCTAAAATAATTAATTAATTAGCCCTGGCTGGCGTGGCTCCGTGGATTGAGCGCGGGCTGCGAACCAAAGCATTGCAGGTTCGATTCCCAGTCAGGGCACATGCCTGGGTTGCAGGCCACAGTCCCCAGCAACTGCACATTGATGTTTCTCTCTGTCTCTCTATCTCCCTCCCTTTCCTCTCTAAAAATAAATAAAATATTTAAAAATAAATAAATAAATAAAATAACTAATTAATTAATTAAAATAAATAACTAAAAAGAAAAGGGTAACAAAATAAGCCTCCAATCATCAGGCTGAGGTTGTAAGCTTGACAGTAGTTGTGAAAGTGATTTAACTTTTGCCACTCTTCACCTTACAGTGTTACCAGCAAACTGGTTAGTAGAGTCCCAGGGAGGGGAGAAAATACAAGGGAGGAAGAAATTCTTCTGATTTAAGGGACATTCTGTTGTCATTTAATATGAAGTTCTTGTTCCTTGGGGAATCAAGACATCTGAATATGCACACCACCTTTGAATAGCTCCAACTAAATTACAGCAGCGGACTTTGGCACCCAAGGAATTCTGGCTTTCTGGGATTACAGTAATAATTTGCAACTACAAATCACTGCTTTATTCATGTTTTAAAGCACTGGGATAGTCTAATTCTAACTTGTTAATTAATGTTTGCCAATTATCTATTTGAAATAAATTTGTGTCTGAACAACTATCAAAACTATTAAATTGTACAGATATCATTCATGACAGCCTTGTACTATAGAATGTGCTTAATAAAAAACAAAAAGTTGACCTTTGTCTAAAAAATTGATCAGTGATATCAATAAATCAAGTATGAGTATTATGCAGTACATCCAATCTGGCTTCATGCAATTGTTACTTTAGCTACTAATTCAAAGCCAGGACTCTTAATAAAGCATTGTAATACTCTGAAAAAACATATATCATTAGCAGAAAAACTGATGAAACTCAAAGTCTGTAGTTAGTTGTACTGATAACTGAACCATGGTTATATAAGGGGTTACACTAAAGGAAGTTGAGTGAATTTTCTATATATTTTTGCAACTTGTCTCTAAGTCTAAAATTAATTAAAACTTAAAAGTTAAAAAAAGTTGGAGACTGAATATAAGCCAACATATGACAATAAAATTAATTTAATTCTCTAAGAGAATCACTGATTTTTGTATTCCTATGACCTGACACATAGCCAGTGCTGAATTTGGTAAATAGTAAATTACTTTGTAGGATATGCTCATTAAAATACTTAAGGACACTACTAAAACAAATGAAATGCAAAAAAGAAGGAGGAAGAGGAGAAGGAAAACAATGATTAACCAGGAAAGAGGAAAATTAACTGGGTGCAAAATTACATTTTCGGAAGTTTCTAGAAAATGAAAAGGCTTCCCCCAACCCCACCCGGCCCCACCCCCATGCTAGCTCCCTTCAGTTTACTAAACACCAGCACTTTCCTAAAGCTCCATCTCTAATCAGTGGCACTTTCTTTTGGCCATGCCCACCACCTTCTGCTCTTCTGCCACTGAGCACTCCAACACAGTGCCCCCCTCTTTCCTGACTCCTAGCACTTTGTCTGCGCCTTCCTCCCTAAACCCACGGAGCACACTGGAGCATCTGGGCAAGAGGTACCGGATGACCCTGCATCACCCATTTTACAGCAACAGCTGCCATAAAATAGTCAGGTAACATGAAGTAAATTTAACAAGCGAAGGACTAACACTGT